GAAGCGGTTTCAGGCTCTATTCCTGTTTGCCTAGTCTTGCCCGCAAGAAACAGACATGTAAGTCAGAAGTCTGAAGCAAAATTGACTAAACGGTGTAATGTTGCCTGGTCGATTTATTGCCTGGCGGAAACGATATCTCGTCGTCGAGGAAAAATGTATCTTTTTTCATATTATTATTTTTTCAAACTTTGTTTAATACACTAAATGCTACTCAAAACACAACTTATCTCATTTTACTTACACCTACGGTATTTACTCTGCTTACAATGCCGACAATTTTAAAAACACAACGACTACTCCGTGTTTCCGCTCTCATAGTATTGACGCTATTTACAATATTATCATGGCTATTTATATTTCTATCACATACACTGCTAAGATTGTTTGCTATCCTAATGACACTAACAAGAGAGTCATATTGTCCCACTACACAGGAGCTAACAGCAATGTGTACTTAGGCAATATGCATATCTAATTGGTTAGTTTACTTTGATGTAATTACGTTACAGTAAAGTACTGTGAAGGTAAGAAATTTCCAAGAAGTTCTGTTTAGTGACCTTCTCATCATTTGATATAGCAATGCATTTCTTAATTTCGACTCTCTCCTCGACGTAAAGAGACGGTGTAAGTAAGATTGAGTTTGATATTTTAAATTCTTAAATAGTTGCCGGAAACGATATTTCGCTAAGCTTTTAAAACGATATCTCGTTCGATGCAGACGAGATGTCACCAGGTGGCGGAGATATCGCCACTGGTTGAAAGTTCCTGTTGATATTCATGTGCTCTTGAATTAATCGCAATAAAACAGCTTCAGATGAGCTGTGCAGTAATTTTTCTCTCCTAATTCCAAGTATGATCAAAACAATTGTTGAGCTGGTATTGTCTGAGGCATCTAATTTTGATTTGATGTATACAGCCATGGAAGTGGCCGTAGAGCAGAGTAGTATTTTCACAAATTTGTGCCGACAAGGAACTGAAATGCTTCATGATAACGTTGAGAAGGTATTTTCAAATTTTGTTTACCCACTACACCAGAACTTATATTGACGGGAAAGATTGTTGGCAATTGCTCCACAAATTCTGCGACAAACACGAATTACACTCGATTTTGTAATGTTAAATCGATCGGCCACTGATCGCAGGCATTCAGGGTTGTCATGTATCCATATCGTAATCAATACTTGCTTCTGTAAGTCAATGGTAGGTCTGCCCCCATTCCTTTGTCCATGAGGCAGACCTAGGCAAGTAGCTAACAAGCGTTCCAAACAGCTGACTGTAGTTCTTGACATCCGAAAATGACTTAAAAAATCTGAAACATTGTAGAGTGGTTTAATACGTTCGAAATAATTCTCAATGCGGACATGGTTCTGCCTCTCCCTTATCAAAAGAAACAATTATAGAAATTCTTCATCTTCACAACCTCTCGCTTCTTGTAGTAATGAATCACTGGAAAGTACCTCTATTAACGAAACAACAGCTGATCTATCCGCGACGGCCATCTTGTTTTCGTTTTTAAATCTAGCGTGCGATTCCGCTGACGCGCTCCACAGTTTCGCGCCTGCTGTCATGGTAACTGATCTGATGAACTTAAGCTCCGTTCCTTTGATGCACCGTGATCTGTGTGATCTTGAATCACAAATCCTAATCCGGATCCTCCCAAAGGAACGCACCCTTAATTATCTTAATTCTAAACCATGACGATGATCGCAGTATAATGCTGAACACATCGCCATCGATATCACTCTTAATACAAATGAATTCTTCCTTTGCATTACCATATGTGCGTATAGCATTTCAAATTATATCTCTATCTACTTTAAATTATTTATGTTTCTCGAGTATTTTCTTATCTTTTTTCTTTCACCGGTTTTTCTGAGGGTGCTGTCTTCAAAGCCATGATTGTTTTTCTGCTCGCGGCTCCAACGCACAGTAGGCCACAAGTCAAACGAGATACCGCTGCCTATGCGGAAACTGTCGCATAGCACGACACTGAGGAAGATGACATCCCCAACACGTTCACAAAGCGAGATGTAGAAGATCACACTGATTCTTTAGACCAAGACGACAGCCAAATAAATTGTCAATTTCTAAGCAATGTTATTAAAAACGTTACCGCCATTAGCGAAAGAGAAAAAATTTGCAAACTGGGAAATTGCATCTGTGCTCCTCTTAGTGTCTGGAAGAGTAAGCCTGGCGCTTGTGAACAATGTTTAGAAGAAAAATTTCCCAGAGGATGAGAAATTTAACAGCGTTATTTTGCTAACTAGTATAAATGGCGATCCAAATCCATCTCTTAATTTATCAATCCGGCAATTTGTATTTCTACCAATGTAAAAACGTTAAGAAAAGCGTTATAAAATAAGGGTGGGGTGGGGGTCATGAGCAACTCAAAATCCCGCCCCATTTAGTATAAATCCCACTTACAATGACGTAATAAACTGAAAATTCCTCCCAAACCTCTTTGCGTTAAAATTTTTCATGAATTTTTGCTGCTTTCTAGACGTTTTAAATGCGTGTTCGATTTCAGTGTCTTGAGAATACCATCCAGTTAAAAGCCACTAGTCCATACCTTTACAGTGAGGTTTTATATAAATCTGGGTGTTTCAACGGAAACATGCACGAAGCTCATCGCTTAATGATAAGTCCATCAAGTTGCTTTCGTACGGTGCTTCTAGGTGGTTAATCACATGATTTTACTCAGGACGGTAACATCTTTCTCGCCGTAATTCCTTACGATTCTTAGTATTCCATATAATTCGGGCTTTTTTCTAATTAAAATCAGGTAGACGTGAAAAAATTTACTAATTTTTTCTCCCACGTTTCTTTATCAGTGGACTTTGGATAGTCTATGTAACTCCCTTTTTGTAGTTCCCTGGGGAGTTTCATAATATCGACATCGTCAAGTTTGATTACAACGAGGCTGTCACCTTTCTTTTCCATAAGTTGATGAAGAGCGTAATCTAGTTCTGTGCCACAATAGTTCTATTAAAAAAGTGAATGGACACAACAGCAATTGTCTTCCTACAGATGTAAACGCACTTTTCCTCAAGAGTTGGAATAAGAGTTCTTACCACCCAACCTTTGTCTTCGGAGCTGTACATAACAAACGCATCGTATTCAAACTGCATGCCTGAAACATGAAATAATTGGATATGAACATGCACGCTAGAACTAACAGAAAGACAGATATATTGAAACAATTAATAAATACTAAGTGTGGAAAGCACCGCCATCTCAAAGATGGTTCAACTTTAAAAAATAACTTCCAAAAAACCTTCTTAAGATTATCGATTAATTCAAGTAACCGGACTGAAGTTATAAGAAATCGATCATGAAACATACAATATAAGACCCCACGATTATATCACGAGACAACGAGACTGCAACATCAGGTTATGAACATAAATATAGCATATCAGACCCCTGCGCGGGTGCATGACCACAACATCAAATTCAAAACTTTCAATTTAACGAAGCAGACTTCATGCATTTTGCCCAAAACTTCAAAATCATATCCACAACACTGAGCGTTTTTTGGTTGTTACAGAAGATGGACATATGCCTATTCATTAAGTCGTACTTTAGAACACTGAAAAACTCAGGAAATAGTAAGGTGTTTGTAATTTTTTTCCCTGCTCGTTGCAAAATAGTTCAACGACAATTCAATAGCCTCCATTTGGCGCGAAAATATGCTCCCATCATCATATGCTCCTCGAGGCTCACAGTTTTCCTCGAGCTTCGCGTTCGGAAAACTGTAAATTTCTCGGAACACATAGAGTCGGCGGACAAACATCTGTGCACTTTAGTTTCGCGCCAGATGAGGCCATCTTTTATATATCAAGCGTGTCTTCAGCAGTTGCCAATTTGTCTGTGTCGCGTAGCAAGATCGAAATCCTTCGATCAGCAGTGGAGCTGCCCCATTTCGTTTCAAAAAGAAAAATCACCGGCAACAAAGCTTTATTAAGAATGGTGTTAAGTATTTTATGACAAACCTGAATTCGGAGGATACAAAGAAGTCTTATTGATGTCTGTGTAAGCAATAAAGGAAAATAAGTATAGGTAATCGCATGGGGCCGGGGGGAATAAGAATAAATGTCACGCGTTTTTTCAGAATCTGCTGAGGTTGCCAAGTCGCGCAGCAAGATCGAAATTGTTTGATCAGGCGTAGATTTTTATTACTTCTAGCTCAATTCAAAGAGGATAATCATCGTTAACAAAGTGTTATTAAGATTTCAAGAACTGTGTTAAGTCTTTCCGACAAACCTGAAGTCAAAGGAGACGAAGAAGTTTCATTGATCTCGGACATTGTATAGAGATATTACGCGTGTTTTCAGAAGTTGTAGAGGGTGCTCGAGTCACCACCAAGATCAAAATCCCTCGATTAGCCGTGGAGGCTCCCTATTTCAAGTCGATTTAGAGATAACAGTTCCTTAGCAAGGCGTTATTAAGTTTTTAAGGAAGGTATCAAGTGTTTTCGGACAAACCTGCATGAAGTCGGAGGAGACGAAGATATCTTTTTGATCTCTGTATTTAACAATTATTCACCGATACTGAGGTGATAAATTGTTTTGTATATACCCCAAAGACACCAGAAAAAAAAAGTATCGTCAACTCCAAAACTAAGTTTATCGCTTGAAAGACCTACATGCTCATTGTTTGTCGAAACGAGTATTACTTGACATGTTATATTTTTTTTGAGCTCCAAAAGGCCTACCTCAATCGGGATGAAGCGGGAAAAAATATTGAAAGTTTTGAAACCTCGGGGCTAAACTCAACTGGAACTTTCAGCCGAAGTGAACTTGCATAAGTCATGTAGTACGTGAGGATTTTTACCATGGCAGCTCCTTAGGAAATAGGTAAGACTTGCCCACGCTATGCCATAATTCTTATTGTTCCCAATATAATTTTGTTATGATTTTCAGATCTTCATCTGATTTTTCAATTTCTTTGAGATATTATAGCATTTTAAATGCCTTAGTGCAATCAGTGAACGTAAGTGCACATCTTTGCATTTTGAAGCGAGAATTATCCACCCTGACGGATGACTGTTATTTGATTTTTGACTGTTTGACGGTTTTAAGGACCGGGTTGGTCAGACTCTCGTCCAACAAATACAACAAATTTGTCAAACAATGAGATTCCGTTCACTGGTTTTACAGCTCACATGTCTCCAATATTGCGCGTGGAGAATGATTTTCATTATCTTTCATTCGCAACTGAGATCTGTTGATTCTCTTCCCTGATGTTTAATGCGAAGATGCTTTGATATTATCTCAATATTAAAGCCTCCGGCAGTCTAATTTTATCACCCATACGTTGGGCAAAGTGTTGATATTGTAAGGAAAGGTCACTTTTTGACCTTACCTAAACGCCTACGTGTTGATGTTTAATTGACTTACGTAATCAAAACCGTTTAAAAAGAAAACTTGAGAAAGAAAAGGAATAAAAACAACAGGATATTACGTCATTCGATCTTGAAGTTTCTATAGTAGAAGGGTGCCAACACGAAAAGCAACAAAAAGCAAGAGCATCGTATTCTTTGTAAGACACCTGTCTTCAGAAATGTCGATTTTAACCAAAAGCCATATTTATTTCCATGTACGCCATTGGAAAGAGCAAAGTCTGCGGAAGAGGTGATTATGACAACGGAGAAAACTGAGAAACAAGCAAAAATGCGGAATTTTGACATGGCAGGCGATTCCCCACAGATGACAACTAAACATCAAGTTAGCACGACTACCTATGAAGAATAGACGCACATACCATAAAATTTAAAAGAAGAAACTTCTTTGAAGGAAAAAAGATTTGATTTTTTTGTGAACGTTATATCATGTTTGAACTGGTAGCTGTGGCTCGTATGAATTAGAGAATATAACTTGCGAAAATATCGTTCCGCTTCAGAAACGATCGAGGTTAAGTTTCAATAGCAATATCTGATTTCTTGATGAGCTGTAATGATACTGAGAAAAATATGCTTTCATTGCAACATAGTACATATCCTACATAAATGAGAGTAGAATCTACTCATTTCTTCATTTAGCTTCCCTTTGTAAATTACAATCAAAGTAGGATTCCGCGTTCTTATAACACTTAAACCGGGAAAACATCCAGCTTAATGAATTGTTTTCCTCGACTCCAATTTTCACTTACCGATTGAAAAATCTTTAAAAAAGACTTTATGGAACTTAAATGAGCAGAAAATGAAACAGTTGTCCTGCTGCTAAAAAGCCTCTCCTTTTACCTGAAGTGAGTTCGTGTCATAATTCAGTTAAGTTCTTTTAATTAAACTTTAATTTTCTATTTCACCTTTTACTTGTTTGAGCCACAATGACTAAGCAGTGCTGTTTCTTGAGTTTGCTTCGAACTTTATTTTTCCCTCAAGCCAAGAATAAACACATACGAACGAACACAGCCGAAACAGGGTTTTACCATAAAAGGTAAAAGGCACATGCGTGAAACTGCTATTCCATTAAACACGGCATCTGCTACAATCTTCTTTAAGAGACTATAGCAGAATTAGATTTTATCATCGTCATAATGCAACACATAAGATAGAATTTGAAGAATCTATTATGAAATTTGAAAATTATTTTTAGCCCAGTGAAAAGAATATTTAGTAACCAAAACGTGCGGCGAGTCAATTGTACTAATCTTGAAAATCGAGAAAGGAAGCTACTTTCAGATGATGCTGAGTTTGACTTTTAGACGGGAGTTTCCCGAAGAGCAGCAATCATGAAATGAATTTTACTTTAGCCCTAATTTTGGAGGTAAATAAGATATAAGTATTGCGGAAAAAAAGACCACGCCCTTTTGCTCACTAAAGTATTTGTACTTACGGTCGAGGTATTTTTTTTTTAATCAGTCTGTGTACAACATCCTGACAAGCATTGACAACTAATAAGGGAAAGTCTATCTAATAGGGAAGATATAATCACAATGAAGGTAGGTAGCTAGATCACCTTCACGCTTAAAGCTTTCCATCGTATCATTCAGCTTCGCCTTTTTTTGTACTAGTGGTTGAGAGAACAGATTTTCGTCTTGTGTCCGAAGTGTAGTACAAGATACTAGTTATCATCCTTTAAATATTGAAATTTTTAGTTCAGTTTAAGTGGCAGGTAAATTTTCTAACTGTTAAATGATGAAAACACATTTTAAACGTAGATCAAACTGTTGACATAGCTTATCCATATTTCTTCGCTTTACTTAGTATTTGCACTTAAATTTAAAGGAAACGTCTGAAGTGTAGTCGGGTTTATTCTAATTTTTTTTTTAACGAGTCGCTTGTAAATCAACGTTATGTTTGGATAATAATTTTGCGTTTCAATTATTGTCAATGGAATGAAAATTCCCCAAAATTTCTCGTTAGAAATTGATGTTAGCATATGTGGACCAAATGGGTAAAATTTTGCGTGAAATATAGTACAAATGAATTCTGACGCTGCAATTTAGCAACAACGGAAACAAATGGAAAAATTTGCTTCTCAATGAGAAAAAATGGCCCCGACTAACAGGAGAAGCCAGTCGTTTACATGTCAAACTGAAACGAAACAACTGAATTTAATTTTCACTGAATTTCGTGAGGCACTGAGCTCAACAAAGAACCGTGAGGCTTCAATGCTCTCGAGTTTAACATACATGTCATACATACAGGTTACCATGAAAGTCAATTTCGCAAATACTTATGCTCGGTAAGGAATCCAAGATAACAGCCAAAATGCCTTAACATTGGTTTTGAAGAAAGAACACGAGTGTTTAGTCCTGCCTTTAGTCTTGGCTATGACTTATACTTCATTTTAGGGATTAAAAATAAACAAATATCTAAGAGACGTTTTTATTTTGTCGGTTTTAATCGTCCGGTCCATGTCCTTAACCTTGAGACGTGGTTATATTCGATTACTATTTATTTCCTGAGGTAAATATCCCGCTTCTGCATTGCCATCGCACTATTTATGTGGACATGGCTTTCTCCAGAGTTAGTTAGAACTGCATTAGTATGGCGTCGGCTTTAAAGAATATTAAATCGTTAGAGATTTTTCTTACATCAACTATTCCAGAAAGTATATACAGTATTGTGCAAAAGTAATGCAAATCTACGATTTATCGTCGACCATAGCGCTTTATTCTACAGAGATATTACCTATATATCCTTGATATATCGCGAATTCTGTTGCTTCTTAAAGGAGATAAATCAACGAGGTATCGGGGCTTTCCTGCGATATCTAGTTTCAGTGAAATATCGCTACAACGATACATCGTAGAGCACACAATATATCCCTATAGCGAATTATCGTAGACGGAGAGGTGCGTCATCGCGATATCTCGTTTCAGTGGTATACATCGCCACAAGGATTTTTAGTGAGAAATGCATTATTAGATATAATGTTGAATACCATATTTCAAAGTAATCCCCCTCTTTGTTAAAGGATTATAAACAAATCGCTTCTCTCGTCTCCGATCCCTCCCAAAATGAAACGACACCACAGTCAAAAGATAATTACACTAAAGGCTGCACAGCTACTTCCGGGGGTTTCGAACCAAAGCTAAAAGAAGCGAGGCAAGCCACAATATTTAACAAGAGTGACTCGATTGTTCTAAAAAAAAATTTTCTTTAATGATACAGCGAAAGTCCACTTTCTAGCATGGAGTGAAGCGGTTTCAGGCTCCATTCCTGTTTTGACTAGTCTTACCCGTAAGAAACAGACATGTAAGTCAGAGGTCTGAAGCAAAATTGACTAAACGATGTAATGTTGCCTGGTCGATTTATTGCCTGGCGGAAACGATATCTCGTCGTCGGGGAAAGATGTATCTTTTTTATATTATTATTTTTTCAAACTTTGTTTAACACACTAAAGGTTACTCAAATCATAACTTATCTCATTTTACTTACACCGACGGTGTTTACCCTGCTTACAATGCCGACAATTTTTTAAAAACACAACCACTTTTCCGTGTCTCCGCCCTCATAGTATTGACGCTATATACAATATTACCATGGCTATTTATATTGCCATTACATACACTGCTAAAATTGTTCACTCTCCTAGCTAATGGCACTAACAAGAGAGTCATATTGTCCCCCAACACAGGAGCTAACAGCAATGTGTACTTGGGCAATACGCATATCTAATTGGTTAATTTACTTCGATGTAATTACGTTACAGTAAAGTGCTGTAAAGGGAAGAAATTTCCAAGAATTTCTGTTTAGTTTCCTTCTCATCATTTGATATGGCGATGCATTTCTTAATTTCGACTCTCTCCTCGACGTAAAGAGACGATGTAAGTAAGATCGAGTTTGATGTTTTCTATTTCTTTAATATTTGCCGGAGCGATATTTCGCTAAGCTTTTATGCAACGATATCTCATTCGACGCAGACGAGATGTCACCAGGTGGCGGAGATATCGCCGGTGATTGAAAGTTCTTGTTGAAATTTATTTGCCCTTGTATAAATCGCAACAAAACAGCTTCAGATCAGCTGTGCAGTATTTTTTCTCTCTTAATTCCAAGTATGGTCAAACAATTGTTGAGGTGGTATTGTCTGAGGCATGTAACTTTAATTTGATGTATACAGCCATGGAAGTGGCCGTAGAGCAGAGTAGTATTTTCACAAGCTTGTGCCGACAGGGAACTGAAATATTTCATGAAAACGTTGAAAAGGTATTTTCAGATTTTGTTTACCACTACGGCAGAACAGAAGGTATATTTGAGTTAAAACCTCAAAATGGTCATCAAAAGTATTTTCTCCGAAACCGGAGCTGTATTGCAAGAGGCGGTTCAGAAAGGTATTTTAAATTGAAACTGGAATCGAAAAAAAAAAATTCTACGACAGGAACTGCGTCTCCAAGACTTTTGTGCCTTAGCGTCCAGTGAAAAACAAGTCGATTGTTGGCTAATCAGAGCGCGCATATCTCCGGAATCAGCTTAGCCATCCTAATTATCTTAATTCTAAACCATGACGATGATCGCAGTATAAAGACGAACACATCGCCTTCGATTTCACTCTTTATACAAATGAATTGTTTCTTTGCATTACCATATGTACGTGTAACATTTCAAATTATATCTCTATCTTCTTTAAATTATTTACGTTTCTCGAGTATTTTCTTATCTTTTATCTTTCACTGGTTTTTCGCAGGGTGCTGTCTTCAAAGCCATGATTGTTTTTCTGCTCGCGGCTTCAACGCACAGTAGGCCACAAGTCAAACGAGATATAGCTGCCCATGCGGAACCTGTCGCATGGCACGACACTGAGGAAGATGACATCCCCAACACGTTCACAAAGCGAGATGTAGACGATCATACCGATTCTTTAGACCTAGACGACTGCCAAATAAATTGTCAATTTCTGAGCAATGTTATTAAAAATGTTACCGCCAATAGAGAAAGAGAAAAAATTTGCAAACTGAGAAATTGCATCTGTGCTCCTCTAAGTATCTCGAAGAGTAAGCCTGGCGCCTGTGAACAATGTTTAGAAGAAAAAATTCCCATAGGATGACATTAAATTTAACAGCGTTATTTTGCTGACTTGTATAATGGCAATCCAACTCTATCTCTTAACTTATCAATCCGGCAATTTGTATTTCTACCAATGTAAAAACGTTAAGAAAAGCGTTATAAAATAAACAGAAATGATTTCTATGCAAGTAAAGTGTATGAAATGATATAGGGGGTGGGGCGGGGGTCATCAGCAACCCAAAACCCCGCCCCATTTAGAAAAAATCCCACTTACGATGACGTATTAAACTGAAAATTCCTTCTAGGCCTCTTTGCGTTAAAATTTATCATGAATTTTTGCTGCTTTCTAAACGTTTTAAAGTGCGCGTTTCTTCAAATCAAGTTGATTTCAGTGTCTAGAGAATACCATCCAATTAAAGTCACCAGTCCGTGCCTCTAAAGGCATGAGGCTTTTTATAAATATGGTTATTTCAACGTAAACATGCATAAAGCCTATTGCTTAATGATAAGTCCATCAAGTTGCTTTCGTACGGTGCTCCTTAATAGCATGATTTTACCCAAGACGGTATCATCTTTCTCGCCACAATACCTCACCATTCTAGGTATCCCATGTATCATTTGGTCATTGTTCTAGTAAAAATCTGGTGGACGTCAAGCTTTTTACTAATTTTTTCTCCCACGTTTCTTTATCAGTGGACTTTGGATAGTCTATGTAACTCCTTTTTCGGAGTTCCCTGGGTAGTTTCTTATTATGGACATCGTCAAGTTTGATTACTACGAGGCTGTCATCTTTCTTTTCCATAAGTCGATGAAGAGCGTAATCTAGTTCTGTGCCACAATAGTTACTATTGAAAAAGTGAGTGGACACAACTGCAATATTCTTCTTACACTTGTAAACGCTGTCAACCATATTTTGACGAAAGGGAACTCCAAGAAGAAAATCTCTGTAATGAACACAGCACTTTAAACCGTACTTTTCCTCAAGAGTTGGAATAAGAGTTCTTACCACCCAATCTGCGTCTTCGGAGCTGTATATAACAAACGCATCGTATTCAAACTGCATGTCTGAAACATGAAATAATTGGATATGAAACATGCACGGTAGAACTAACAAAAACGCAGATATACTGAAACAATTAATAAATACTAAGTGTGGAAAGCGCCGCCATCTAATTGGTGGTTCAACTTTGAACAGTAGCCTGCAAGAAAACCTTCATAATATTATCGATTAATTGAAGTAACCGGATTGAAGTTATCACACTCTAACACGGTTATCGAGATTAGGAGTCTAGCTGGAAAATCTTATTGATTTTCCGCCAAAAGATTGTCTCAATGCCGAATGACAACAAAATCACTGAAAAGCATCATATACAACATACATACACAAATTCAAAACTTTAAATTTAACGTGGCAGTAATGCTTTTTGCCCAGAACTGCAAAATCATGTCCACAACACTGAAATTCCGTGTAGACCCCATAGTCTTCACGTGAGACTACAATATCAGCTCCTGAACGTTAAATACACCATGTCAAACTTCTTGCTTTTCTCAAGACTATGACACTAGGTGGAAAGCATTGAAAATACAATATCCGACCCCACGCTTTTCGTGAGAGGCTGCATCACCAGGTTGGGAGCATTAAGATATACCACGCCAGACCCTGTATGGTTACAAGACTACAACCGTGACATCAGGGGCTTGACATGAAGATTAACACATTGGACCCCAAAATTTTCGCGTAATACTTAAACATGACGGCCCACATGTTGGAAAAACCATACCAGACCCTGCACGATTCTCATAGGACTACAACAGCTGGTCGCGAGCATTGAAAAATACCTTATTCCACGCTTTTTCGCGCGTAACGCGTAGGAAAATAAATCTAGTATTTACTATTTTAGCTCGTGCGGTGCTGCTCACTAGTTTATCGTTTAAAAAAGTATCAGAAAAAGAGACACAGACAGACAAACAGACAGAGGACAGACACGGACAGTCAGAGCATATTGCATGACTGCGCAAAACAGAAGTCAACCGCAAGTGATCCCCTTGATCTCTATCATCACAGTTGGCGATTTGAACATGTACCTGTTAAGGAGACAGATGGTTCCCTTGGTTTCGGTTTTTGTCGACGGCAGCGCAAGTGAATGATCAAAGCAGCCACAATGATAACGAATACCGAGATGGTAACAGTTGCAAGTACATAGGCAATCATATTATTTTTATGACCTGAAAGAGATGACGAAATAGCATATCAGTGAAAGCATCCTTGGCAGTGTTTCTTTTCCATCTTGGAATCGCATAGTATTCTAGTGGAGAATGAAAGGAAGAACCAAATAGTGCAAACGAATCTAATAATTGCTTGTAAATCGTTTTCTCTGCAAAATTTATTTATTATTAAACAGCAGTCGTCGATTTTATTTCAAAGGCTCAATTATCGCACCTATGAAATATAGCTCTACATCGACTGGCACGAAAAGTTCCTTTGCATGTAATGTCCGATGCAAATTTTTAACGCATATCAAGTTTGATCGGTATGATTTAAACAGGTAAAGGTATCTTAAAATCAGGGTAAATCATGCTTTAACATAGAAAAAATCCTTTTGAAATAAACAGAGTAATACTTTTTCAATATACGAGAAAAGCTCGTTAGAAAACTCAATTACAAACAAGAGATTTATGTCTGCAAACAAAGCTTTATTAAAGTCTTAAGGATGTTGCTTGGTATTTCCTGACAAACCTGAAGTCGCAGAATACGAAGAAGTCTTTTTCATCTCTGCACAAAGCAAAACAAAGTAAAAAAAAAAAAGTGTAAATAGTGGCATAAGACCGAGTATAATTAAGGATTATCATAATCCATACAATATTTTTGTTTCCACGCCGTTGGTAAAGAATTAAATCCAAGGGAAGAAAAGCGTTTTCTGGTTTTTACAGAACAAGGACATATTTGCCTATTCGTTAAGTCTTACTTTAGAACTGAGAAGTGAACATTTCACTCAGCAAACAGTAAGGTGTTTGTAATTTTTTTTCCCCAGCTCGTTGCAAAATATTTCAACGACAATTCAAAGACAATTCAATAGCCTCCATTTGGCGCGAAAATATGCTCGTATAATCATATGCTCCTCGAAGCTCACAGTTTTCCTCGAGCTTCGCGTTCGGAAAACTGTTATTAAGAATGGTGTTCGGAAAACTGTTATTAAGAATGGTGTCTGGAAAACTGTTATTAAGAATGATGTTCGGAAAACTGTAAATATCTCGGAACACATAATGTCCGCGGACAAATATCTGTGCACTTTAGTTTCGCGCCAAATTAGGCCATTGTTTATATATCAAGCGTGTTTTCAGCAGTTGCCAATACGTCTGTGTCGCGTAGCAAGATCGAAATCCTTCGATCAGCAGTGGACCGGAGCTGCCCCACTTCGTTTTATAAAGAAAAATCATCGGCAACAAAGCGTTATTAAGAATGGTGTTCAGTATTTTCTGACAAACTTGAAGTCGGAGGAGACAAAGAGGTCTTATTAATTGAAGTAATTGTATGGAACCGGGGGAAGTAATAAAAAACATCACGCGTTTTTTCAGAATCTGCTGTAGTTGCAAAGTCGCGCAGCAAGATTGAAATCCTTTGATCAGCCGTAGATTTATACTACTTCTAGCTCGATTCAATGTTAATATAGCACTAGCTATATTAACATCCAAACCAGCCAATCAGCGCGCGCGAAAAGAACTATTAACTTGTGTGGTATATTGAAGAAATTTAAAATGGTTTCCGTGTTTACATAGCCTGATGTAAACACTTGGGAGGTTGGGAGAACACGAGATAAGCGTAGGACATTTGACCATCGTCCGTGCCTGAAGTGCAGAAAATTTGAACTTTTCCTGTGTGGGGTGGGGAATTTGAACCGGAACTGTCATTTTTCTAGCGGAATACATATATTTTGATATGGAGGTGTTTAAAGGAAAAGAATTTCGAAGTCGCTCTCGTGAGCAGATTGCACAGAAGAAAAGGTGTACAAGAAAGTCACGGTCGCTGATCGTATCCTTTACAAAACATCTCTGATCAGTTCCGGCACTTGGGTGGGGCATCTGAACACTCAGTGTTGAGCGGGAATTTGAAGGAACCAATCTTCAAAAGTTGAAACGCCCGAGAATGTTGCCCGGGTTTGGGTGCAGATGGGAGGGTTTGAAGCTTCGAACTGATCGACGCATTTTCATTCTGCTGTTAGTATCAACCGATTAACTTTTAAATTAACAGTTGTGTTTCATATTTCAAGTGACCACCACAATACGCATTTAGAAATACTTATATATAGATCTTTATTTATAAATTTCATCGAAATACCCACCTTTACATGGGATGCGACAAACTGCACAAAAAAAAAGGACAAAATTAGACGAGGAAAAAAGAAAGAAAAGAGTTAGACAGAAGAGACAGGACATACTGATGTGTGATGTGGCAGCCGCGTTGAGCCTTTCCTCGTTTAGAAATATGTAATTCAAACATTATTAATGCCCTTGGCAGTCTCTGTACGCTAAGAAACAAAAACGGTCTCGGTTAGAGGCAACTAACCTATGTCAAAATCCGCAGGGTTGTCACTAGTGAATGGCCGGGCAAAAACCTTAAAGAAAAAAAAAAGACAACAATGCCACACTAAATTTTCGGCGATTCAGGAACACGCCACAGTGACCCTTTGGTTGAGCTTAGCTATGACATTAGTGAGTAAATTTAAATAATGTTTTAAGACATTTTGGAATACAACTTGATAATGGAGAATCTACCCAAGTCAGAATCTATTTACAAATTAACAAGTCGAATTGCCTATCTCAGGCGCTGGACCTTCGCTCGGCCAAGATTTTTCCACCACTAGATTTTTTTGTGCTGTTTTCACCCGCCCGTCGTTTAGACAGGACGTTTGCTAAAAATTGCTTGATTACTCGGGACGTTTCCAAAAATTGCCTCATTTACTCGTAAGGGCTTTCTAATATTGGCGCCAAGACATACAAGAATTAAACTTCAAAGGCATTATCAACCCCGTGCGGTACTGCACAAAATAATCAAAGGTAAAAAACACAGATATTACATTACATTATTGTTTCAGGAACCGAGTGGGGTCTTTTGTTGAAGTGGATTCAGTGAACGCTGTACCACTCCACAGAGTTGGATTCATACTACTAATATGTAGATTTAGCCAAGCCTAAAAGCGGAGCTCGCATTTTTTTTTCCCGTACGTCTCAAGGGCACAACGCCTTTCCCCCGCCGGGAATAGAACCCCCCTCGTCCGACTTGGAGCCCAATGCACTGACCACTGGACTACTGGACTACTGGACAAAGCCGTGGCGTTGGCGTGCCCGCGGTATAGTTGACGCATGTTAAAAGTAGCACCTTGTACGGTCGTACATCCAAATTTTTTCGCCTTGATGGGTTACTGCTATTTTGTATAGTTATGGGGCTACGCTCTGCGAGCTCCGCTATGATATGTCATTCATAATAGTTTTAAATTTGCACAAGGTATTCGGCCTATACAGTCGATGCTTCAAGCCTTAAGTCTGTTTTCTTAAAAAAAAGCATGAAACCTTCGAACAACCGTAAATGCTGCTTCATAGGTCCCACTGTCAAACCCCAATCAAACCTTTATATTTGATATGCCTAAAAGTGCAAAAACCAGAGTAAAACGGATGCATAGGGCTTAAAACGCATTTCCTTTCCCGCTTCAAAGGGCTCCTCAGATTCCTGCGTCGCTCTAAATTCAAGTTTTCTGCTATCGAAATCGACCGTAATATTGTTTTAAAGTTCCTAAGCTTATCTTCCCCTCATCAATTTTTATTTGTTAAATACATAAAATTGGAAACACTTACAGAGAAGAAGAAATTAACACCTCTTGTCAAATTACTCTTTACCACAAAATTCGTGACATTCTGAAAAAGATGTCATGGTTGCATAATAATGAATAACCTCAATGTGTCTCTGCTAAAAACAAAAAACACTTTTCCCTCGCACCTAACATCTAGGGCCGATGTTTGAGGCAAAACCAAGTACAAAAGTCGATTAAAAGCATAATTACGAAAGGGTAAAATTAATAAATTAACTTGAAGAAGTTCTAAGTATTCTAAGAAATGCAAGCTTTCAGTTGCTCCATACTTTTTTTCAGCAAAAGTTTGATCTAATTTTAAACCTAGCCATTATGAATATCATTTAAATCCCCAGATGTTAGCAATTCTTACCTTATCCAAGTTCACGCATTTGAAGATTTCCTTTGCAACTTTGTAAATCACCATGTATCCATCCCAGATGAGATTGTCATCTGTAATAAAGATCACATGCGAACTATCTTTCTCGCACAAACAAAGCAACCTTTTACCAACGCAAATGGATAATTACTGGTTTTCAAAAGGTTTGCCGAAAAGGCTAAGCAGAATTGGAAATAATTTGTCTTGTCCGAGCAGGAATCATTTTTCTTGATTGACATGTGACACCATTATATTGTTACTCTACATACCTTGCAAAGGTATCCACGTCACGTTCAACATGTATGTTCCTGTGTTGTTAAGTTCCTGGAATCTCACTAACTTCATGTTAGGCTTTATCAAAGTGGAACTCGTTGTATTCCCCAAATTGCAATCTTTGTTTGAAAAATTACAATACCATGCATTAATCATTAGAGAAAATGAAATAAATCTACTCTCGATGATAAATTTAGCACTGGTACATTCAAAATGACAAATAGCACTTGCTAAATGTGTCTGCACCAAAAACGAATGAAACGCCGAGTTCTGAAATACCTTTTAATGACATTTTTTTTTTTAGCACAAAATGTAAGTTAACAACTCGCTTTTTAGTTTTCTTAAAGTGGTTAGGGTAGGTTTGCTTTACCTATGACTGTCAAACTAGTATCACCTAAATTTGAGAAACCAGATACAGAAGGTGGTAACGGTTTATCATACCGAGCTTTGTACAGCACCACAAAGGCCGAGTCAGCAGATTTAAGGGAAACAACTAATTTTCTGCTTTCTTTCAATTACAAGTCAAATCACTTCGAAAAATATAAACAAAGAAATAAAACAGGACTAAAGCAGCTGAAACAAGAACGCAAAAAAGACAGGAAACCAAAAGAAAAAAACAAACAAGCAAACAAAATACAAAACGAAAAGTCAAGTACAAAGAGACAGAAAGAAAAAAAGGGTTTTAAAAGAAATCAGACAAACTAACTAAAATCCAAAAGTGATCAAGTAAGGCAAATACTCAGCACTAAGATGGTGGTAACAAAGTTGAAAAAAGAAAACACTCTGCAGTACTGGACTACTCGTGACAAAAAAAGGCATATTTTTATTTTACCGTTATCAGAGCTGTCTTCTAGGTGGCTCAGGGAGCTTTCTGTGCGAAAATAGCAAACAAATTGTAAGGATAAAGATCTGGCCATTATTCGAAGAGCACGGGAAAATAATTTCCAAGTTGCAATGACTTGTCCATAATGAAATGTCAATAACACTCTTGAACCAAAAGAAGCAGGAGGAGTCACAATGAACCATATTTCTGGTTAAAATGCAGGGCGAATCGATATTGTTGATTGACCATTAGACTAAGCCAGGACTTTGCACTTCTGCTAAAATACTAAGCTTGTGACGAAAACCGCAAATAGTCAATAGTTTGTGCCTAGCAGCGATACTAGCAGCCTCTTTTTCCCTCTCAGCACTTTGTGCGAGCTTTCCGACCGTACTTAACATGCAAAGGTTAACTCATCAACCTTTGTCGGTCTTGTCTCATTGTAGCCAAAAATAGGACTTAAAAAGATGCTCAAGGCGACCGCACGTATTAACGGTCAATCAACCAGCTCGATACGTGCCTCATCTGTATGATGAATTTAGTTAAACACTGATGCAGTCAAGCAAACCTTCTCTGCTCTTTTCGTTAAACTTAGTTGAACCACTCACCTTCACTACAAATGACCTTCCCATGAGTGTGTTGACATTTATGCGTTGAATAATACACATTTTCAATTTGTTTACCTCCCCCCTTTTACCCCCTTTTTTGGAACCACTTTTACTCTGAGATTGTGACGATCACTCGGGGACTGATTGAAAACCCGGAAAAATTCGAATACAAAAAACAAAGGTGTTAAAAACGGCTTAACTGCGATCCGATCGGCGATCTTTTGTTTTTTTTTTTTTTACACATTGTTACTAAATTTAAAATAGAACTATCTAATTAAACTTAAAAAAACTTTTGGTGTCCCAATCTAGTCATTTCTATCAACTGTAGTCAACGTAACCAGCTATTATGTAAGTGTAATGCTTGGCTATTAGTAAATCAGCTTATCATCGTTTGAGGAAAACGTTTTTTGTTACCTCGTTTTTGCCTCTTGAAAGGTGGCTTCGTCTGCTGGTCGCGCGATTGTTTCAGGTTATTCACACGGGGACGAAGAAAATCTGGAATTACAGTACAAGGGAGGGGGCTTCAGCTGAGGAAGAGTGGGAGGCTGTGAATAGATTTCCCTTTTTCGGTATGTAAACTTGACTGAATTCCTCGAGCTCTCAACGGCTCTCGTTTAACTAGTTATTCCACACGTGAAGTACATGTAGAAGCAAACGGAGCGCCAATCACAACATTTTCTTAAAAGCTACGATATATCGAGTGAAAGAGGGAGATATTACTTTTACCGCGACAACTTCCAAATATTGGAATCACCTTCCGCTTAAGATACGTACCTCCTCATCTATAAATATTTCAACGAATGTTTTGTTAATAATGTCTTAATTAAGTCAGATTAGGGAAACAGTTTTAACCTTTTCTTCAGAATATATTAGATCGTATATTGTGGGTAATATGCACATTAACTTTTAAAGAAGTTTTGACATTGTAATTTTTTATATATATCATTTAATTTGTAATATTGTTAAAAGACAAAATTGGCATCTAGCAAGAATTTTCATTATAGGTGTTTTTTTCACTTATTTGACCGTGGAAAATGAATGGAAATAATATATTAACACAAGCCATTCAGTAAAAATTATAATAAGCCATTTGATCATTTCTTATTCCTTTTGGAGGTCTTATCTTACAGGTATAAATTAGCACGCTCTACACCTCTTTTACTTAGAGGTGACTTTTTAGGTGTAAACATATAGTACTTTTCATCCTCCACACTGAATTTATAATCAGGTAATTTATACGAATAGCACGTAGCTCTTTTAGGGGCGGTACCTTGCGTACGCCTTTTCTTCTTCGAATTTTCTGTTTATTCTGTTGTTATGTAACAGTCTTCGAGGACTATTTTCTCTTAGGATATCTCCTCAGCTATGATTTTAATTCTGTTTGTAAGGTTGTTATAATTCTGACCAATCTAGTTTTTGTTTCGCGCGACCTTGACCGTAAGACTAAGAAGTCATTTTGTAAAGCGTAAACATCGCGAAGTACCTACTTAGTATGCGAACTCCGCTCTGCGTAGCTTAGCGTGATTCGCTAGTTAAGTATAAAATCATGACGAAGGTTAGAGATTGACAGCTCGGTAAGCGTCACCTTTATAAGCGGTGACCCACACTTTCCTTGTTAGATCAGAGCTAGTAAACTAGTGTTAGGAAATCCATTCTAACAATGTATCATTCATTAAGAGAGTCACAGCTGTATTAGTTGTTTAACTATTAGGTGTTACCCTCTACAAATTGAGTCTGATTTTAACCATTGATTGACGTTACGTTAAATCATAAAAACATCAAGCTATTTACGTGTCTCTTCCGACATTATCTCTCAATCTAGCACGCCAAATTTGTTATATCCGCTACATCTCATACAGGATAGAATACTATCATTTCACTTCTTTTTATTATTTACTTACTCTTCAATACAAAAACTCGACATTTGTCGTAACAACACTGATGACGTCCGTGTGACTGCACAAAAGAAAAACAGGAGAATATTGTTAATTCGTAGAAAGGTGACAATAGTCTGTACTATAGATTTCTTACAGGCATACAGTGAATTGTCCTAAACCGAAACAAAAAAATCATGGATTTGAGACTGAGCATGTTTGAATTTCGAATAGGGTTTTCTCCAAGTAGTAAGTGGTGTTGGTGTTTTATGTGTATGGGATGGCATAGGATGGTACGTTTTGTTATGATGCATTTTTATGCAGTAGTAGTCAAAAATCAGGATCAAAAAAGCCTTTTTAATCCTCTGGGTTTCTGATTTTAGTTAAAAAAACCTCAAACTTAAACAATCTTAAATCGGAGGCTAGATGGTAACTACGGTGTTCAAAGAGCGAATATTGTAAATAGCCGAGTATTAAAAATGAAAAGCGTCGAAAATGAAAAAAGCAGGCTTGCAGAAAGTGGAAAATGTAGAGGTTGGGAAATAAAGAGAGAGGAATATTCGGAATATAGATAGTAGGGAGTATAACAGCGGATATTGTCATTTTAGTTCTTGATGTACCCGTACTGCGTACAAGCAAAATATTCTTCAATTGTGTTACTTTTTTTATCTCCCAATATATTTTGTTTTGGTCGGTTTATTAATTTTTTTTCTTTCCAATGGTGGAATAGGTTTTACAAATTCACATTTTTTCGAAATATAGAACGCAGAAATTGGACTGAATGATTAAGTCGAATAATTTGCGTTTACGATTGTTCTAGACCCAATTATTCACACGTTATTTTTAAAGAGGTAAACTTTTCACGCGTAATGAGCCCTCAGGGTCTTTTGATATTTGCCCGTTCATCAGTTTGACTCTATTACCGTCATTTTCAACATTTTTTCTTTTAAAATGTATGATATTTTCTTCCTATGAGAAGTAGGGCCAATCCAGGTCATTGTTTGCCAGTTTTTCCTAAGTAAATAAACCACCGCTGCTGGTTCTTTTCAAATGAATTTCATCCCGTTAGGGACTAAACTTGAAAGGTCGCTCTTTGTTTATTTCTGAATAAAGGAAGTGTGTTTTCTCATATCAACAGCTCATAATCTAGCTGAATCTTTTTTCAAATGCATGGGAGGCAAATTTGTACCGATAATCGAGCTAGCTCAGATGAGGGTCTCACATCGACATGCTTTGAGCATATAAAGATGTTCGCAGAGAAGGACAGTTTCCTCTAGAAAAATACGAGATTGGAAATTTTGAAAATTTTAACACTCGTTATTGAACTATATTGTCTACGAATTATAGTTAAAATCTCGTACATGGAGCTTTTGCCAACATTCTTTGAAAATAGTTGTTCATTGAACTAAAATAAACACCGCTATAAGTGAAGGAATTGTTAGATTACCTCTTTACTTGATATTTCCGTTTCGTTTTCTTGCCAGCTGAGGTTACATGTCCTCAAACAGAGCTTTATCTGCCCAGCTATCTTCAATTCATCAGGAATTCTAGAAGAGCTTCGACAATGCACGCACATGATTGAAATCTCGCTCCAAATGGACAAAATGAAAATACTTTTGAAGAACGATTCCCGCATCGCTTATCGTTGTGCTTCTTGTTTGCTCTAGTATAAATGAACACTCCCATAAGAATGCTTGAATGACGTCCACAGCATGGTGCGGTAAGGTTAAATTAACCTGTTCAGTCGCTCGAACACGTAATGGTTGTCATGAACAAGTTTCGCTCGCTCATGATGCGTCAGAGGATGACACGGGTGACAGCACATCACGCAAGAGGTCAATATATAGATTGGAGAAAACTATAAATATGAAAATTTAGGAAAAATATTAAAGTTTGAAATAATGAGAAACACGCAACGAGACTGAGCAAGGATGGAGATTATTAATACTGATTTTAAGCAATAAAATTGTAAAATGCAATGTAAATAGACTGTGACGAAGTGGCCTCTATTATTCAGACGTCAATTGATGATGATATGAAATTTGTACTGAATGCGCTTGGTAAACAGGTAGTCACCAAGACGAAATTTTGTAGAAAATGAATTCAATTGTTTATCATTTGTCGCAATATTCCTGCAAACTATTTCTTTTGAGATGTCTTCAGAAGCAACGTTACTATCTCTTTAGTTTATTTTGGGATAGAGTAAATTTTAATCTGATCAAATAAAGTATCAATATATAAGCTTGTTTTGTCAAAAGAGATTCAAAGATGAAATGAAAAGATCAGAATAACATGAATTGAGAAACTTTGATTTATTAACAAGGACAAACCCCCTCTATCTAGTGGCAAGTTCAAATAATCTATCGTTTTTGAAGACCTAATGCGAGCAAAGCTTTCAAACATTAATGAATTACTGATTAAAAGACAAAATCATCATAAAACTCATTTGAAATGTTAAAATTCCTAGGTATGTCCTTCCACGCGCCAAGACATGCTGCTACGTAAGTCAAATCGGAGTAATTGGTCTGTGTTCTCTTAACTGGCTGTCGAATGATTTAGACAGCCGCCTTCTCACTGATTTGTACGCTTCCTAATGATGCAACTTTTGCCTTGCCTGGTAGTTCTTACGAGCGCTCGTAAAATGGCTTACAATCATATTCACGATTAGCATAATTGCCTCATTATCATCATCCAGTTAATGGTTTGAACCCGGGGGTAACATGCGACTAATGGAGTTTGATCATCCGGGTGAGTGTAGTCCTGAGAAAGACTGTTATCGGTAGTGATGACCGTCAAGTCACTTGACTCTGATGATGAATTCTACTCAGATTGTCGAAACGTCAGTCACCACTACCGATAACAGTCCTTCTCAGGACTACACTCACCTGAACGATAAAACTACACTATTACATAATTACCATCGTTATTATTAGTATTACCATTAGAATACAACTTTTAATATTACATACATACATACACACACACACACACACACACATACATACTTTATTAGTATTTCCCAGGGAGCCTTTTCAATACTAAACAGCAAAGAGCATTATAATAAAAAATGGATAAAATTATAAAAAGCGGTAAATTGAAATAATTCTTTGGCATGTACGTTTTCAACTTTTCTTTAAATGATGTTAAAAGTAACTGTTTAAAGTCGTAGTCTAAATTGTTCCAAATGTTGACTGCTCTATGGAGGAAACGTCGCTGGCCTTACTTTGTCTTGCTTGGAGGAATATCAAGGGGTTCTCTGTTTCTAGTGTTACGATAGTGAATATACTTGCGTCTTCGGAGAGACTCTCATAAATATGTGGGGGCCAGGCCCTTCATGCACCTAAATGTCATTACAGTGTCTGTAAAGGAGATGCTCATCTACCAGTAGCTATTTAATCTCGCGTAACGCAGGTGTTATGTGCTCAAATTTCTTGGTTTTTGTGCTGATTCTGCAAGCGAAATTCTAAACAGCTTGAAGCTTCTAGATGTTTGTGGCAGTTGTGCTTGACTAAACTGTAGAGCAATAGAACAATTTTCTTAGGACTAGAGCGGAGATGATCGTGCATAAAGTGTCCCTATCAAAACTGTTCCTTACCCTGTTTATTTGACAAAGTTTAGTCATGCACGATGAGGTAAGTTGATGAATGTGTTTATCATAGGTTAAGTTGTTATCTAGTATTATTCCGAGATCCTTGGCACTGGAGACAGGTATGATCTCTTTCTCCAAGAAAGAGATCGCGATTTCGTTAGGAAGCCTGTCCCGACCATAAGGAACTTGGTCTTTTTAGGGTTGATCAATATTTGATTTTTACAGCACCAGGTAGCCACACGGGAACTTTCCACAAAAAGCGCAGTGGTAGGAGAAAATTTCTTGAATATAGTGACATCATTCAAATTTCCAGGCTCTTACGAGAATCTGACAGGTCTTGGAATTGAAAATGACAGCTAGAGCAGCAATAAAACAAAATTTAAAGAACCTAAGAAACTAAGCAGCCGGTCATTCAACCGACGCATTGACCGACTAGTTCTTCACATTACTATTATTACTTTTTTGTATTACCTTCTTCTTTAAAGTTCAAGGAGTAAAGGTAAACGAAGCGTACACCGTTAGTTTTTCTTAGATTTTTATCAGACATTCTAATGTATTTTTTCGATTTTTTAAGGATTTTATCATAATTTTTGTAAATATTTTTAGTGATTATAATAAATAAAATATTTTTATTAAAAAAATTATTACCATTAGTATTATTTATTATTATTATTATTAGGCGCCTTAAGCAAAAGACGTTTTCGTTGACGACTGCGACGTGACGACCGATAAGAAACTGGGGATAGAACGGCTTGAAGTTGCGGTCGCGACTGCGGGTTACTATCCTCAAGCAAAGCGCACGAAAAACGCGACGCCGCGCCGAGCGAGCTTCGCAAATTTGGTGGTAAATTCAATCTTCACAATGAAGCTCTCGATTCCTTCGCATTGTCCGGTCATGTCGAGCTTGAAGGAAACGCATGATTTACTTTTGGTTTCCTTTATTAAAAGAGTCACAAAGACAGCTCTTTAAGATACTGTGAATCCTGGATGTGTGTTCAGATTTTGCGCTATTTGGCTCCTTGCCCAACCACGCTCTTTGGAGCCAGCCTTGAATTTAAAGGGTTCACATTATAAGATTTCTCTGACCAACATGACATCTTTTTGTTCTGTGCACTCCGTCTACGAGTTAAACTATGTTTGAAAAATAACCCAACGAATTACACTATTAAAGCTTTTCTAATAATAGACACACCCCTTGTGAAATTATTTTTGCGAAAAATTACAAACTATCAGGCTTAGAAGAGTAGTTCTGCCTCGGCATATCAAAGACGGAAATTGTTTTACATTTTCGATGTTTAATGTTAAAGCGATCGATTACCATCAATTGTATACTCATTATTTTTGCCAGCTAGTTTTGTTTAGTCTCGGGATAAAAAAAAAACGGTTTGCGAAGAACGAAATCATCTCGTGTGAACAAGAAGCGTGTGTTTGTCTGCTTGTGAACATGGCGATTAACACACTACATTCAAAATTAATTTGAGTCGATTAAAAAATCTTCTAAGTTAAATGACCGGTTATACATTGAGAAAATCGGAAAAGACAACTAATTATTCCGTTGAAAGAAAGCAAACTCTTCGCTGGAAGCTAGTTTAGCACGCGAAAACAATTTTTGAAAAAATGAGTCTAATAATGCTTCTAGAACATTATTTTAAATATAAAATCAAACATTATGCAATTTTACTTGGCTTCCAAATTGAATTAGTCCGAAAGTAAGCTAAAAGTGATCAAAACAAAAGATTAAGTACACAAGTGCTCGTCACGACGTGAAACCCACGGGACAACGGCAAGTCACAACGTGTTGTTCATGCGCAGTGAGACTGCAAATAAGGTGCCTTTTATATGATTATTGTTATCATTGATGCTATTCTGTCATTATCAACACTTTCACTATTGTTATTGTTATTACTGCGTAAGGTATAATTTTCTTTATCTTACAGCCCGCGTCGCCAGAAGCTGATTGCGTGTATTTTAGCGAGAATTTTCACCGCCACCTGCCTCCTCTCTCCAAAACAATTCATTGAGACAGACGCAATATTTTCACAATTCAAGAGGTGCTGTCAATAAAGCCATAAGTGAATAAAGCGACAGCGGGTCTTTTGAGAGAATATTGCAAACTGAACTTAACAAACATTGCAAATTTTCCCTTCCACCCGTTTTTTTTTATCTTACTTTGATAACGTACTTAACTGGTTAGGCACGTTCTCTACAAGCACAACGAGAAAAAAAAAAAAAAGATGGCTGGACGATGTAAGTTAATAGAAACCCCCAATGCAACGGACGAGAAACACAAACGATGTTTTTGATATAATGCAGTTAGAAAGTAGCCGGTGGCTGCTGGCTGACTTTCAGGTTTAAGCGTTTAGAGTGAAGGTTACAAGAATGTAAAAATCAACGGGTGTCAGCCTTTGAACATATCATCGTTCAATTAAAAGGTGAAGGCAGCGAATTGTCGGAAATGACAACACATTTGCATGTATACTCCATGCCATCGATCTTCCCTTATTTGTATATTTTCCCAATCACCAGAAATAACTTTACAAACTCAGTTGTTGCCAAGCCTCTAATTGCAAACGCAACGAAAGTAAAGATTACTCTCATTCAGGAAACTCAGACTTCACCATCCCAAAACCAAGAGGGCTTGATATTAATTTTGGTAAAACAAGCCTCAGTATATCAATATATAAAATTGGATAGGCATCGAAAAAAAGCGAAATCATGCGAATCAGATATTATCCCCATAGTATCCCTCATTACACCGTTATATCTTTAGGTAGCAACTAAATGGCTAAATGCGTAAACTTTGTGTCCGATTTCGTTTTTTAAGTATACTTAAACATAAAACAAAATGACCATTAGTTATTCGATATAGATAGACATTGTTCATGTAGTGCGTTGTTTAATCCAAATAAAAGTCATAACATACTTGGTCCCCCCTTGTTAAAAACATGTTTAAGTTAATATACATGTTATTGGAAAGGTGTCCTTTTCGTTAAACCACTACTGGATAATTTTATCTTTTCATTTTTTTGCTCGCAAGATCGATTCTTTGTAAATATTCAGCAATGGGCCTTACTTTACTTTTCCTGTCGATTTTAACTTGTTCAAGGTATAATATAAACTTAGCCGCAAGGGTAACTTCTCTCTTTATAACTAGCCACTGACTTATTAGTAATTCACGCAACAAAATTTCGTCCAGCCAATGAACAATTTATTATGATCATAAAGCAAAGGATAAGCGATGAGGAGGCTTATATTACCAGTGACAAACTCTTCTTCTCGAAAAAGTCTAATACTTCCGGCCCTTCATGATCGTCGGTACAGGTGGAATTGTAAGTCATTTCGTGTTCTAATTCTCGAGGCACGAAAGGCGGATGAATTTGGAAAGAAAACTAGATGAAATTTCATCTCCATCACAACCAAAATTACAACCACCCACAGACTTTCGTCCGTGATGTAACTATGACTGTCGCAGGTATACGCACAGAAGCTGTTTTACACACTTTTTTTTCCTTTATCATATTTCGCAATTTATGTCTTATTTGAATTCGGCTGAGTAATTTCCGAATGAGACAATCCATTTGACTGTTTACCAGTCCAAGCATCAGAAACAACAGAAACCTTTTACATCCAGTATGCCATGTCCGCATGTGTATTTCCTGTCTAGAAAAGATAGGGCCTCTCGCTTTATCTTCTTCAAAATAAAAATTAAATCGATAAATAAATTAACGATGATAATAGAAAAATTACAAATTTGGAAGGTTTCTAAGAAACGTTATTAACGTATCCCACCCTTACAATTTGTCGACACCGACGATGAGTGGAGAGCAGATCCCGGCATGAGTTTTTGCATTTGCCTTGTATTGTGAGTAAAGAAAATGAAAAGCTGGGTTATTTCCGGTCTGCTACGAATCATAATGACATTAATATTTCAAACTCTAAAAAAGTCACTTTGGTTTTCAGCAAGTGGCATTTTACAATTGGACCTTTAAAATAAGTGTAAAGGCTACAGGTAATTGACATGCAGCTGATATCAAGCTGTATAACATATTCAGCCTGTTTCAACCGTCAATACCTACTTGCCCTTTTAGCACAACAACGTGGTACGTTACCCAACGCCTAAAAGGGATATAACTATGAAAGAGCGAAGCACTTAGTTAACTTGCTTCACATTAAGGATTCTATGCGACTCGATATTTATATTTCATTATTACTAGTTCCTTCTTTCTTTCCTTTTTTTGTTTTTTTTTTAATTTTTTAAATTTTATTTTGTGTGTGTGTGTGTATGTGGCACAGGTGCCTGCGGATTATTTTGTCTTCGGTAATCAATAGACAAAAAGAAAATGCTCGTTGCACCGACAGTATGTTTGCTTTTGGAGTTGGCGATTGCGTCAAACTGCGGGGTCAGATATCAGCTGATTTTGGGAAAACTGAGAAGTGGAGCAACTACACTTGGAGTCATCCCACGGAGTTTTATTAAATATTCAGGGCCAAAATTAATTACTTATCTTGACGATAGTTTTGATCAACTTCAAATTTTTATGAATTGAAATATTTTATCCGTAAAAAACAAAGCTTAAATTTATATCCATTAAGTTTCTCATGTAACGATTGATTTATAATCCAGGCTTACAAACGAGTACTATGTTTTTTTATATTTGGAATGCGAGTTGAGATATAGATGACCAATCAATAACTTATTAAAGCCCAAACATGGTTATGAAACATTCACTCATTCAACTTGGCGAGAAATATAAAACCGCTTGGGAAATAAAAAGAAGTCATCTGAACGGTATCCCAACATTTATGTAGTGCTTTAATAACAATTGAAAACAGCTATTTTCTTTGTAATCTTAATCTCTCAAAAAAATACGGCTTTTGTCTAAATTTATTTGGACGTGAGGGAAGTATTTTAAGTTGGTATCGCGAAAAACTTTACGTTCGTGAGTCCAGGCGATGACAACAAACCTTAAGCTAATCTGAATTTACATCCTTTCCAGCTGTTTGAAATTTTGTATATTTTTATCACCACTAAATATGGTTGACGTCTACGTAGTTAACGTCTTATCTTTGGTAAAATAGTTTATTTACTTTATTTGTTATTTAGTGCTTCAAAGAATATAAAAAGGGCCATTCGGCTCCTTATTCCACACATCGCCTCGATTCAGGGAAGGGTCCTCCAGCAATTTGACGGTAGACTAAAACCAGTATCAAGCAAGAAGTCTGAGAAAAAATGCACGGAAACGTTGAAAAGGTAAAACAAGCATAATTATCTTTGTCTCCTTCGTGAACGTAACTTTAGCATAACACTGCATTGACTGATTTATGAACCTAAGCCTTTCCTTTTTCGTTTTTTCGGGTATGATTTGTCTCATTGCTTTCTTTTTGATTTATCTCCAGGTTGTATTCGTTATTTTCTTGATGGCTGTGCCTTTGTCGCACTGTAACACATCACGAAACGTATTCACGGAAGAGGATTTAACTCCCATCGTAGAAAATCTCAAATGGGACGACAAAGAGGAGCAAACAGCCATGGCAGATTACTTCCACCCAAAGAGTTCCGATGTACAGAAACGTAGCAACGTAGTCTCATGCGATTGCAGGGAATTTGCTCATAAGAGACTGACAGAATCATGTCCATATGGCTGTATTCCTTTTTGGGAAAAGAATTGCAACAAAAGTTATTGCAAAACTTGTCATATTTCATTCAAGAATTGAAGCACGTGTAACTTTCGACTGAACCAAGCAGAAATAATAAATTAAAGATAATGAATGAAATCTAACATTGTTTGATTGACTTGTCTTACGTTAACTGAGAAACAATTATGGAGAGGCATAGTGTACAAACATGTGTAGAAGAAAGTCTCGAAGGGGTGGGGTAGTTTTGATGGTTGTCATGAATAAATTTCCCTCACGAAATAGAGTCAATACTAAGTATTATTAAGGTAGTGTGTAAATTTTTTTTTTAATATACGGATCATACGTTATATTCAGAACTATTAAGTCTTTGTCTGACAAATTAAACTAAAGCGTAACTCTATGACATTTAGCCGCTTAACATTTAAATCTTAATTAATTAAAATTAATTAAATTTAAACCTAAATTAAATAACCTATATTTTTCTAAACTCGTCTCATATAGTCCTCCAAGTAAGTATTTTATGACTTAAATTGACTTGTGTCTTTTTTATCGTATTATAGGGCTTAGGTCTCAATTGGAACGAAAGTTCTGTTCCCCTCTCCTGTCACTCCACTTTATTTTTTCTTTTCTTGTTACTGTGTGATGTAGATTAGTGGTTTGTATTTGTTGAACTGTGGCGAATAAATTAGAAAAAAATAATTAAAAATGTTGTGTGTTATGCTTAGGGACTCCTTCGAGATGCTTCCTAAATCCTTAGCACACTGCACGCGTTTTTCCGCGTATTTCACCGTACGGCCCGCTAAATTCAAAGTTTGTCTTGATGGCCGAAATATCTCTTAAAGAAAAATTTGAAACAGACTTAAAGAAAAGTGACGAATAAAAAGAGCAAAGATTAGAAGCAGATATCCCAAACTTTCGAGTTGGATTCTTAGAGTTTTTGGGGGGAAGACAAGCGGCAAATAGTGAAAGACGACCATCCACGACAAAGATAACTCAAGTCGAGAACTGGAAGATTTTCATGACCAACATGGATCTTTTTTAATTTCAAATGTGCTCGCTCACGATCCAAAATTTTTCTCTCATTCATAACGTAGGAAAGTGTCTTGACCCAAGAGATTCATTAAGATCACTGACCACTTTACTTTCACCTCCGTCAATATCATCTACTGCATAACTTAAACTTATTGCGAAAAGTCATACAATGGTGAAACAGGGAGACGATTGGGTGACCGATTTTGAGAAAACCTTCGCGAAGTAGAAAGAAATGACAAAGACGCATCCAAACCAGTCGCTAGACACTCAAATCTCCCTAATAATTCTAAGCAGCATATGGTAGTTTGTTTACTTTCCCTAAAAAAAAATTATCTTTCAAATCGGCACTCTTAATCCCTACCGTGGCAATGAGCGCTTTCCATTCAACTGATTTACTCTCGTTTCCTCGTCACCATGCATATTTATATCCCAACCATATTTTACTTATTTTACTTATTTACATATTTACTTATTCCCAACCATATTCCCACCAATAGCGTAGCTCTAATTGATCTGTATATAAACTCATATTCAACCCACAATTCCTTCCATCGCGACAGCAAGTGCAAACAGTGTAATGTGTTGAATAATTAGGGACCTTAAGATGCAAGGGTGGAGAGCAAGGACGGGGACGGAGCTAACGAGTAGGAATAGTTGTAGCTGCACTAGCTCTTTTACCCATTGTTAAATAGCGTTTGCCCATGGGTAAAGACGTTTAGAGTAACCGCTTTCTCCAGACCGAAACTGCCCAACAATTAGGAGCAGGAAATTAACGTTTTTGATTGTATCTTACGACAACATGGACGCGAAGTCCTAAAGATGGTTAGGAAAGGAGAGAAAACGCTTGGAAAACTCGCCCGGTGGCAGAATCACAAGCACTTTAACATCCGATGCAGATATAACAACATTACTCCAAACAGCCTGAAACTACGAACCTGTATGAAAGGTGTTAAGACCATGAAGATTATTCATAATGCCGAGAAGAAACTTCTTCAGGAACGAATAAGACAATGCAACTTTACGATCAGAAAGTACGAGGAGAGCGTAAAAGAACTGAAATCAAGTTTACAATCCAAGGTGTCAACAGAGATAAATAATCAAATCTTAACTCTCTTCGAGAAAACACATTCGTCGCACTTTGAGATGGCAAAGAGCCGCCAGAGGCAAAAGTTTGACCGCCTACTGATCAGTAAAGAAGAAATTCGGTCACCGACGACAAACATTGGAGATACCAACATTGATCGGACAAAGTGGGTTATGAATCTCTCTGACCGCCCTCTTTCCGACAGTGAACGCTCGGTTCTCATGAAAGGTCTGAATTTTAGCGTAACTCCATCAAAGATTCCAGTTGATGAGATCGTGGCAGCCACTGAACTGGCCTGTATTCAACTAAAAGAGAAAAGCCAAGCAGAGAGCCTGAGATATGAAGTAGTTAAAATCGTAAGCAAGAGCAAACCCCCAAGACCAAACATCAGCAGAGCTGAAAGGGAAGCCATTAAGGCGCTGGCGAAAGACGATTCAATTGTAATCTTACTAGCGGACAAAGGGCGCACTACGGTAATCCTAAACAAACAAGATTATCACAACAAGGTGAAGGCTCTCCTAGACGATACCAATACGTATGAAAAATTAACATCCGACCCAACCAGAGCCATCAAAAACAAACTCATTCAAACCTTGAAGGAGTGGCGCAAAGAAGAGAGAATCCCTAATTATCTTTACAATCAACTGTACCCCACAGCAGAGAATATCCCAAAGTTCTACGGGCTACCCAATATTCACAAGAAAGACGTACCGCTACGGCCAATAGTTTCGAGCATTGGTAGCGTGATGTACGACACTGCCAAGTTCCTTGCTAAGGTTATGAAACCTCTTGTTGGCCTCAACAGTCATCACATCGTTAACAGTGAAGACTTTGTCAACAAGATTGCAGAACTTGAAGTACCCCCTGGACAGAAACTCGTTTCATACGATGTTTCCTCACTGTTTACCAGCATTCCGATCAATGAAGCCATTCCAGTTGTCAGAGCCAAACTGGGAAGTGACCAGAGCTTACCGGACAGATGCCCGTTAGATATCGCCCAATTATCTGTTCTACTAGAGATGTGCCTCGCGAGCACATACTTTACATTCCAGGGTGAATTCTATAAACAAAAGAAAGGAGCCGCAATGGGGTCTCCAATTTCCCCTGTAGTGGCCAATCTCTACATGGAACAGTTCGAGAGCAGAGCTCTGGACACCGCCCCCACCCCTCCAACTATGTGGTATCGATATGTTGATGACACGATGGCCAAGATTCACGAAAACGCCGTCGATTCCTTCTCAGAACATCTAAACTCCATTGACCAACACATCCAGTTCACTTCGGAACAAGAAAAGGATGGCAGGATTCCTTTCCTTGATACCTGTGTGAGTATTAACCAAGATGGTTCTACCAAGATCTGCGTGTACCGCAAACCTACGCACACGGACCAGTACCTAAACTTCCAGTCAAACCATCATCTACAACACAAAAGAGCTGTGGTTAACACCCTGATGTTGAGAGCGGTCGGAAAACGAGGACAGAACTAGAGAAACACAGCATGTCAAGCAAGCTCTAAAAATGAATAACTTTCCAGAATGGATGCTAACAATACCACATCCAAAATCTACAACAGAAGATACCGAAGAGCCTCAAAACGAGAAGAAAATCTATGCATCAACGCCATACATCAAAGGTATCTCGGAACGCCTGCAAAGAGCGTTCAAGTCACACGATGTTACACTTATTCATAAACCCGTCAATTCTTTAAGATCACAATTGGTACGTGTCAAGGACACAACTGTCAATCTCAAGAAAAGCGGTACTGTGTACCAGATCCATTGTGAGAAGTGTAACAAGGAGTACGTTGGCGAAACGGCCCGCGCTCTGGAAATCAGAGTGAAAGAACACCAATCAAGAAGTACATCAGCTGTTCACGAGCATTGTCGCCTAGAGGGCCACTCGGTGGACCCAAATAAGACAAAAGTACTATCAACCGAAGTTAACACCTTCAAACGCAGGATAAAAGAAGCTATTCAAATTAAACTTACGAAACCGGCGTTAAACAGAGACAATGGTTACGAATTAGCAGCTATCTATGACACAATTCTAACCCCCAAGAGGCGTTAAAAAACCTTTTTAAAATTCATCTTTTTAACATTCATATCATTGACTGATGAAGTCAGGTCGAAATACGGACGAAATATTTCATAAGTTTTAATTTTTAGCTCCGAGTTTAGAAAAAAATTTTTAACTTTTTTGCCCAACAATTAGTTCCATGGATACACCAAAAAGAACAAAAGAACTTCCCATGACAGTTCTTGAACTGAAAAGTACGGTTTATCTGGTCCCTGAGGTGGCTTGGCCAGTCATAAAGCAGAACGAAGCTAGTACAGGAAATCGCCTGCAGTGCTATGAGGTGACCTCTGATGCGCTTGGCTGATTTCGCGCCTACTTGTGGCACGAGGTAACATGGCAGGGTTTCGTGCATCACTGTGAGTATTTCTTACTTTATTTTAATAAGTTTGCCCTTCAGACTGTCAGTTACGAAGTTGATAAAGTCATAAATTTTCTGTTTATCTGTTTATAGGAACGTTAGTTAAAACGAAGATCCCTACTACAACCGGTATTTATTTGCGGCAAGGAAACCAAACAAGGCCGCAAGGAATTAACAACAGCGGTAATCCCCTGCGTGGTGTTGGCATGGCTCAAAATCAGCCTCCTCTGCATTGTCCAGCGATGCTAAATCCCTGCCCGATTTACCAGAACCCTGTCCCCGGTGCTGGCGATCACCATCGGTTTGAACCAAACAGGGACAGCGCCAGTCCAACTCCAAGTGAATTCTTGAACCGAAGTGACGATCGCAACAAGCGCAGTAGCTGGTCGTTGACCGAAGAGAGACGCTTAACTTAAATTTCCGCTTATCAGGAGTACTACGATAGACTTAAGTCTACAAAAAGCAGTCAAGGCAAGAAAAACAAATGGGAAGATATTTTGAAGCAGTTTCAAAGTATGTGCTTTGACATTGGAGTGGAGTTTAAAAAGCTATGAGCGAAGTTAAAAGAGAAGTGGCGGGCGCTCTTGGACAAATACAAAAGTGTATGTGATAACAACAATCGCAAGGGAAGGGAATGGAAAACGTTCCAACACAATGAGGAGACGAATTTATGGCTTCATCAGACAAAGTAAATCCTAGATTTGTCAACGAAACAAAAGCCCATAAACAAGATTATAGCTCTAATGATACCGACGATATTTTGTCGACCGGAAATCAAGATTGTGGCAAGAAACCAGAGAAACGACCAGTCACCTTACTGAAGGCGATAGTGCGGTTGCAGAGAAAACTGGAAAAAATGGGAAAAAGACTTAGCGGTCGGATAAGCCAGCGTTTGGTGGGATAAGCAGTGTCTCCCACGATAAGAGGGCGCACTACAGTTCCGCCCAAGTCAAATGTGGGTTCCATCAGGATATTCTCCTCTTCAACAGCCCAATAAACGTCAGTTAAACGTAGCATGCGAGCATCATGTAGACTTCCAGGAAAACCAGTGGCAACAGATAGTTTGAGGCCAGAGGCATCAACTATTTCCTGAACTAAAAAACTGAAGAAATGTTTACGGTTAAATTAGTCTTCGTGGTTAACTTTCGGGGCCTTATAGTCACATGGCTTCCATCTATTGTTCCAACTATATTAGGTAATTTACTTTCATTGTCGAAGCCTTTGATTTTTTTGATGAAAACTTGATAAACTCATCTTTATGTCGGCAGACTTCTTGAACAAATTCATGGCAACACTTTAAGTTGCTGAAACCAATTCTGTAGTCGTGGAAATACCCAAGCTCTTCTTGGCCGGGAACCAAGTTCGCGAAGAGCCCGTAAATGTAAATAATATGCTGACAAACCTTAAAGGTAGCGTAGTTGAAAGCGCCTTCTTCGGTGTCTTCTCGCAAATAAACTGCTGGACTGTTATATTTATGGAGAACTGTCGTACAATAAGCAGGAAAATCACTGAAAGTAAGCTTATTAGATCTCTATTCGTGACATTCATGTTGCTCTGCACTTTTCCTACCAATTTGCAAGGTCAGTGAACTCATATCTAATTCTATTTAACCCTGAGAGAGTCTTTTACGGTCTAACCGTATATATCCCAAGGGTAACATGAAACCTGAGCTTAACCAAACCAAAGCCATTTACCCTCCGTAAGCCCCTAAACCCATGGTGTGTGTAACCACTACTGATGGGTCGAGTTCTGTCGTGCCTACTAAAAACAAAATACTTAGGATCTTGAGTAGTTCCTACACGAGACGGCGACGCCAATAGTTCTATAATGGCGACCTTTATAGATGTAAGGAACCTTCTCTGTTTTACTGTACGTGGGAAACTTCTCCAAATATTCTGAATTCCCACATGGATAATTCGATCAATTAGACTTAGACGCGATGAATGAGACCGAATGCGAAGTTGAATTTCGCTTTGGAAAAAACTGAAATTTTATCTCTTGCAAAAGAGCTGAAGATTCCGTTTGTTTGCCACTAAGGTACAAAGTCATGGAAACCCAATTTGAGCCATCCAGCGGAAAACCGTGGTAAAATGAACATCTTAGTTTCAATTTAACAGTCTAAGAACGAGAGCGAGCATTAGACCATTCTATTGTTCCTTAGGTAGGACTTTTGAATAAAGGGGGTAGGTTTCCTAAGAAACTGTGGTGCTGCGTCGGTGGGAGAGTATAGCACACTGTAAAATGCAGAGAGCTAAATTGACCCCAAAAGCCAAATTGCCCCCAGTGTCTTGAAGGCCAATTTGGCCCCTTGAGGTTCGTTTGGACTTTTTAAGCCAAAACGGGTCGGACAGGTACCATTTTGACCCCTCCAAAATCTGAATTGGCCAAATGAGTTCTACTTTGGAACTTTTGCTCAATTTGGCCCTTCCAAGAGCCAGGTAGGATTTAACAATCTCGCCCCAACAAGATGAAATTCTTGAAATGACTGAAAATAAACCCAACATTGTCAACAATTTTGGTTACGTGGAAGTCCCATCACGACTTGAATGACACAAGGACAGGGATTCGGGAATGTTATAAATAGGGGCCCTATACTGGTAAAAGTTGAAACTGCGGAAAATCTTAAGCTATCGATTGGCTTACTCAACTTTATGCGGTGACTTTTTTGATGAGTAAAATTTTGTTGTAAAAGGGATTTCTCTCCAAAATTCGTCCTTCTTTTGCTAGTGCGTCTTAGCAGTTCCTTCTGCGTGTCACATTAGTCGAACCTAGACCGCGTGCGTCAGACACGATAATGAATTATAGCAGCGAATTCATCTTTGAAGAGGCTGTTCTTAGCTCCAGTCACATGAAATGAGACTTAAGAAAGGACAGGTAAGGAAAAGAAATTTGCTTAACAACACGTTTCATTGCAACTTTACATACACAAACTTGACCGCTCCATTGATCTTTGTTCGTATCTTATATTGCAGAAAACGACGGTTGCGATGGCCAAGATCTCCTTGCCATTGTCCAAGATGAAGGCGAACTAAGGCAGTACTTCCTTATTATAAAGGAGCATCTAAAGTTCAAGACATTGATTGCAATGAACGCTGAACCTAAAGATTACACGAGTTCTTCGTCGTTACGATCATTAATTTCCCATCAGAGATTTGATGCACGCAAGGTTCGCCTTTTCTCCTGAGCCTTGTTGAGTCTCAGCGGTTTCACAGCTACGGACATGTGTCCTAATTTTGGCACCAAGAGATAGAGACGGTTACAGTTCGAATACTACGTTTACTCCAGGTGGACTTAACTTATTTCAAAATTCTCTGATTTCAGGATTTCTCACTCTGAATTCTTAATCTTTTTGCTCGAAAAGCGGATTAACTTATATTTTTATGTCTATGTTTTTGTTCGTATCCACTTAAGCTTAATTTAAGCTCTTTCAGCGTGCAGAATCAAGCCCTTCGAGTAAGACGTTTCAAACGTCGATTGATGATTCAGAAAACATCAGCGATTATGAAAATTTAAAAGTGACATCGGCACCGAAAGAAAAGGGTAAATCGCCTAAGGAAGTTAGGTAAAATTAGCGACTCTACGTACAAAATGTTATACAGTAGTGACGGCTTATGTCCACGTTTTTATGGCTTACCTAAAATTCATAAACCGGGAATTCCTTTGAGACCCATTGTCTCTTTTGTTAATTCTCCGACTTATTCAATTTCTGGTTATCTTGCGAGAATTTTGTCGCCTGTTGTTGGGAATACTGATTACAATGTAAAAATTTCCTGCGAATTTGCGGATTTCATAAGAGATAAAACTCTTCACGTTTGTGAAGAATTAGTATCTTTCGACGTTGTTTCGCTCTTCAATAAAATCCCAGTTGATCTTGCCGTTAAGGTTGCGAAGGAGAGACTCAGAGAAGATGCTTCCCTAAGACAAAGAACGTCTTTGCCTGTGGAGGATATTATTCATCTGCTGTCTTTTTGCCTCAAAACCACGCAATTCGCATATAACGGCACTTACTATCAACAAGTTTTTGGTACAGCTATGGGTTCGCCCGTCTCTGCTGTCATTCCTAACATGGCAATGGGAGACGTGGAACAAAGGGCCTTAGCTTCTTCACTGGTTGAACCCTTTTTCTGGAAACGATATGTCGATGATGTTATTTCTGCGGTATACGGAAATGAAGTGGAGCACCTCCTATCGCATTTGAATTCAGTAAAGCCGTCGATCCAATTCACTCTTGAGCGTGAAAAAGATAAAAATTTTCCCTCTCTCGATCTAAATGTGTCCAGAGGGGTTGAGGGCAATTTAGAGACAAGTGTCTACCGTAAACCTACCCACACCGACAAATACCTCGCTTTCTATTCTCACCACCCTATTTGCCATAAAACGTCTGTAGTCAAACCTTTACTCAGGAGGGCCGACTGTCTACCATCTTCACTCGATTCGAGGGCTAAGGAGAGGAAATATGTTTTTAATGTCCTAAAGGCAAATGGCTATACAAAAACCTTTCTCCGTAACTGCCAAAAACCAGTTGCAACTAGTAACACTTCTAATGAAAGAGAACCAGCGACTGGTTTTGCTGTTATTCCTTACATTCAGAGTGTTACGGAATCCGTCAAGAGAATTTTGAATAGCCACAACGTTAAAGTTGCTCCAAAACCTTTTCAGACTTTGGGGTGTATTTTCGCTAAACCTAAGGATCCTGTCACGAAAGAACTACGCACCGAGGCCATTTATTCTATTCCTTGCAATGACTGACAACGAATACAGCGGACAGACCAAACGTCAGTTTAGTACACGTTTAAATGAGCATCAAAAAGTGGTTTTCTTTTGCAGAAAAGAAAATTCAGCTTTATCGGAGCACACATGCCTAACTAACCATACAATTGGGTGGGATAATTCTAAAATTATCACCACTAATCGGCGTTACCACCAGCGCCTTAGTTTGGAGGCTTGGCAAATTAACTCCGCCCACGCTCCTTTAAATCGTGACGATGGCGGCTTGCTTCCTGACGCCTATTTACACCTCGTCAGAAAAAAGGCAGCTAATTAGTGATCATATAAAAGGACCTCTTGTTGCAGCGTTTAGATCACCCCTGATGAAGGCACTAGACAGGAGTCTCGAAACGTTGGGTCCATGAATTGTAACTTCTTCGGTTACATTCATTAAATCTGTAAACCAGAGTAACATCAAACCATGTCTTATCTTTTTTTGTCTTTTAAGTCTACAAGCAATCCTTATTAATTCATGAATACTGTACTAGAACCGAAGTGCATAAAGGTAGGATTTCTTTTCTTGATAAGTACATAATTATAGAGTGTGGTGAAAGTACATCATTGATGATCATTGAACCATGATTGTGTTTTTTCTTTTTTATGCACAGTTTGTTTACATATATGGAAACTTTGTAGTTGTAATAAATGACTGTTCTCAAACAACAAATTAATTTGCTCATTTGTTTATTTTTTGTACAGTTCTCTGCCTCAGTAGAGTTAGATATCCAGGAGGGATATCTCACCGGCAGCCTAAAGCACTCTGAGCAGCAGTGGATTACAAAAACTTATGGCATAATATCCTTGTATGGCTGGCAGAATACCAGTTGACGCGGAAACTGAATGGATTGGTGAAATTTAAAAATCTATTACTTTGCCTATCCTGCTTGTAGTGAAAAGAGACAACTTTGTGGTGCTGAATCTCTAGCCTTGAACTAAAAAGGTGCAGAATAATCGCTCTGACCTTTTAAGTTCATGACCTTTGTTCTTTTGTGTTTGCCATCACATATGCATCGAATTAAGCTGTGAAAATTTTGTAGGTATGAGTCCAAAAAACTGCTACTTTGGTACAAAAATAAACAGCTATAATTACTGAGCCCATTTGCTTATGAAGTCCACATACATCGGCTCAAGTATCGGCTCAAGTACCTTGAGGCTGTATCTTATTTTGCCTTCTTTTTGTTCGGTTTTTTTACTTAGCATGTTTTTTAAATTTCCTTTTGTCAAACCATTTGATAAATATTGCAAATGAAATAGTGGATTCTTTTCAGATATTTTGGGAGTCTTGCGTCATTTTTCAAGCATTGAATGGGAGACAAATTATTAGCATTGAGCCAAATTTCCATTTCCGTTTGTAGTGTTTTGGCCTATAGTGTTAGAAAAGCATCCTATATATATATATATATATTTATGTATATATATATATATATACATATACCATCTGAGTAAACGAAATGAGGGGAAAGTGACCAACTAAAAATGGCAGACTAGTAGGCAATTTTTACTGGCTACAGGCACTTTTTGCACTTTGGCTTGTTTTAAATATAGTTGTAAAATTTGTCTTCATTGCATAGCGTAGCTGATGTTGATTCAGCAATCAGAGATTATGTCCAGCACAAATTTTAATTGTTGGCGATCTTCAATACATCGATCTCCTGTCCATAGTAACAGAGCAAAGTGTAATGTGTCACCTTCCACAAGAAAAGAATTCTTGATGCTCATTGGGTTTCTTGGCTCATTTCATATTTTCAATGTTTCTTATAATCAGTCAAAGGCAATTTTGCCTTTTTGGAGCAAGCTTTGCTTGAAATTGAGCATAGGCAGACTCTTGTCACCATTTCCTTTGTTTTCAATGACTTGGCGAATGCCTTAGGTAGTACTTGCTGAAAGTTCATATTTTGATGATATCTAAAGTAGCAGTATGAGTACATGTATTCTCACATCCACTGGAAGAATACTCAATGCTGCTCTATGGCTCTTTGTTTTTCAGATTCACAAATCAAACAAGATCTATATTCTTGTACAGGAACTAGACCATTTGTTGCCTCTATGTTATTTTGATATTTTCTGTGCTTTAAATCAGTCTTGATCATAAGCTGCCTTACGTTATCACATTGCAAAGTCATTGAAAAGGGAAGCTTTACTCTTTACGCAATGCTTACACTGTTTAGAAGTATACTGGTTTAGGGAAGATATCTATTTTAGAAAATGGTTGAATTAATGTTAAATATGTATGTATGTTGTTCTATTCTTTCACATGATGTTCCAATTTTGTAATTTAGTGTTAACCACTGAGTTGAAAAGGTAAATTTGCCACCGTAAAGAGTTGAAGGGCTAACGTTTCGAGCGTTGACCCTTCGTCTGACGAAGGACGACCTTTGGCTCCCTGGAAATTACGACTCGATTCAAACTTCAGATCCCACGGAACGAATAATTGGGAATCCGTCCTGACGAAAACGTAAAATACCTCTCAAAATTATGAGCCAAAGTTGAACATCGACAATCAGGAGGTACGTGTAAGAAGCTTGAGTGATACTTTAGAACCAAATTTAATTTTAAATAGACTATTCAGAGGAGAGGTTTGCTCGATTACTACAGTCCGTTCATTTTCTTCACCGGACACTGCTCCGCATCACAGATCACCGCGACTGCAAACCAACAACTTAGTATATATATTTTCGAGACGAAGGCAAAGCAAGCTGAATGGTGTCGTCGACGAAATCAGGACGGGGGGAGAACACGAATCTAGGCTTCATTTGCGCATGCCATGTTTTGCAAATTTATTTTCGATAGCCGTCCTAGCTCATTCCGTCTTGGGATCTTAAGTTTTCAATTTATTTACAAGTAGGCTAAATGTGTTTGCCTTTTGCTTGTTTGTTGTAAACGTTTTAGTCATGGAGGTATTTTTTAGTAATTTTAAAGTAAAAGCGACTAGAACCATATTATCTACATTTTTGCAAAAATAACCATCATTCACAAAAACTAGCATTGTTGGCATACTGCGAATGTTAGAAAAATTCCCAAGGAAATTTGTTTTTGGCTAAAACAAAAAAAATTACAAAAAATCCACAGACTTCTCGTTCGCGATGTTGCTATACTTGTCGCAGGTCAACACGCAAGGCTCCTTCGTATTTACATAAAGATGATTACGAGCTTTATAACAGATTCAGCCGATTTCAACTGTGAAACCAAGTGTTTCTCCCCACCTCCTGCGTGCTCTAGCAGCCTCCTAAGTGCTTTACAACAGAACAGAGCACAGTCAAGGCTTCTCTATTTGTTTTATAATAGAGAATCCGTTAAATTCCCCGCGCATTACTTTCAATTTTCAAAATAACAACAATAACAGTGTCGTCAGCATGCTCTATACTCTCATAAAGCACGTCACAATAAGCCGATTCGAATCCCTGTTAGAATGTTTCAAATAATCTGATTGGCTGTACAAGACTAAAGCTGTCAAAAATGTCAAACCATCAAAGTTCATATTCTGCAATAGCTTACAAACTAAAATAGTTCGGCATGTCGGATTTAACACTTTGCCTGAAGTTTTTTAGTTTCTAATACAGAATCTGAAAGTGAAATGTTCAGTGAAACTCGGCCCAATCGTGGCTCACAAAAATACGCAAGTTATTTCACATGGCAAGTAGAAAACAAACTGCTCAAGACGAGTGTTTTATGGATGAACGACAGCCGAATTCCGCATAGACCTCAGCATGATCGCAGTCGCTGTGACACCATCATGATCAGAATGAATTTTAACAGTGATGCCAGGTTATATTTTTCATCATTCCCTTTTTTGTTCTTGAACCCGAAACTTTATATACTAAACAAGTCTCAGCTGTATTTGATTTTTATTACCGCACGTAAACTTGCAATTTAACTGAGCGTGAAAAACTTTAAAACTCGGACTGTCCATTTTGTTTTATCTTTGAGGATTTTTGTCTCTGCTCACGTTACAGTAACGAAAATTACTGCATCTGGCATTTTTGCAAACCTTTGCTCGCTTGTTCCGAAATTTCACTTTCAATTAACGAAAGAAAAGCTAGAAAGAAGTCCCGGAAAAGGTCGGACATAGTACAATTTGGCAGATAGCGTGACAGCTTTAGCTCAGTTCTATGCTCTATACTCTCATAGAGCACGGTATTTTAACCAATGACAGCACGTGTTATATCCGAACTTTATTATAAATTCTTCCAAAACTACTACTGATACGAGACATTAACATTCATGTGAAAATTGCATATTAGATTGAAGTAAACATGTTATTTCATCGGGTAGCTACCTTTCACGAGGTGGCTTTTAAACATCTCACCGGAAACGGATAGAAATTAATGACGAACCAAAATAGGTGTACGTGCATCACATAGCAGGTGCGAGAATAGAGACGACATGTCGGTCGAAAATTAGATTTGTAACACGGTAATACAGAAATAGATAAGTCAATGATGACTCTCCTGAAATTTTGAATTTTCTCCCGCCGTCCCTTTCGTATTACATGGCACCCGCGAGAAAGCTTACAAGGCAAATATTGACGGTTGCTTTTTCTGTTTATGATTTATTGCTTGCTTTGTTTTATTTGTTAGCTTTGTTCTTTAAGCAGTCAACCAATTTTTTCTCCCACGCTTCCTTTTCGACGGATTTCGAATAGTCTATGTAACTCCTCTCTTGCAGTTCGATGGGAAGTTTCCTTTTATCAACTTCATCAAGTTTGATGACAACTAGGCTGTCATCCCTCTTTTCCATAAGTCGATGAAGGGCGAAATCCAGTTCTGATCCACAATAATTACTATCAAAAAAGTGAGTAGAGACAATAGCAAGGGTTTTTCTACACTTGTAAACACTTTCCACCACATTGTCCCTAAAAAGGACTCCTGGTGTGAAATTTCTGTAATGTATGCAGCACTTCAAGCCATGCTTTTTCTCCAGAGTTGGGATGAGAGTGTTTACCACCCAATCCGAGTCTTGTGAGCTGAATATAACGAATGCATCGTACTCAAATTTTAAATCTGAAAAATCAAAGAAGTACGTATTGTTGATCACAGATGATACGAGTCCCAGTATAGCAGTTTTCTAATCTTACAAGAGCTATATATCCTAATTTCATGAAAGAGATGTGTCTACTGAATGCCATCAGTAATAGATCACAGACAACGTCAAAATGTAGCTAGAGCTTAAAATGATACGCGAGTATAACGAGGTGCATCCGTATGTTGGATTGAATTCAAGTGAATTTTGAGGGGAAAAAACTAACCTGGCATCGATGGTGTAAGATCGGTTTGCGATCGTCGGCAATAACGCAGTGTTACTATTATGCTTGCCAAAAAGGCAATGGCCAAAACTACTCCAACAATGATAGTGTTCCTCTTTTTGTTACCTGAAAAAAAAATCAAATAAAAGAGGAAAGGCGTATTGTCATAATCTTCGCTTCCGACAACCCATTTTAATTTGATAATAAAAGGTTTTTTGTCATCACCAAGATTTTTCCAGCACTCTTATTTTCGAGAAATTCCTCTTCTGTCTACGTTGACCTCTACAAGCATAATTTATTAACCCCTTAAATAGGTTTTTCCTTCAAGGCCTTCTTTGGACATCCTTCCAGCAATTGACGAAGATATTTTGCAGACATATTTCGATGAATTATCAAATAGTAAAGGTGATTTAGCGTCAAAAGGGTTAAATGTTTAAAATTTGCAAGAATTTCACTTAATACAGGAAAGAAAAGTTAACCTGATCGTCTTATAAGTAGTTGTCAATAACTATCGTAGAAAGTCGTATTTTCTATTTATTGTTTGTGGAAACATGAATTAATCAAAATGCAAAAAATATGCAATGAATATATAAAACATATCTATTTGCCAAAATTGTAAATAGAAGCTGAATACTTAAGAAAAAATACTTTGTGTCCTAATTTTAACTAATTCGCTCTACTATTAGGTCAGTTGTAAAGTCTGTTGACCCCTTCAAGAAATTTAACAGTACGTTGTCATCCAATACTTATTAAGAATTATGTGCCTCTGCAGAAATAAATTTTCCTTTTTCCAGTCGGAAAGTGGGCATGTGAAAACCTAGATTCATTTCTACTGTTTTGGTGTCTCAAAATTGAAGTATGCAATCTTTTAAAAGCAAACCTGGTGGAGCCTTTGTTGCGACACCTACAAAGGATAAAAAATTTATTAATAAATATTCTTTCAAAATTACAAAGTTATAGCAAGTGCAACATGACACACAACAACAATACTGCTACTACTACTACTACTACTACTACTACTACTACTACTAATAATAATAATAATAATAATAATAATAATAACAATAGTAATAGTTCCAGTTGGAAAGTACGCAGATGAAAATTTAGATTCATTTCTACAGTTTTGGTGTCTCAAAATTGAGGTATGCAATCTTTTAAAGCAAACCTGGTGTTGACATTCTTGTTGTTGTTGTTGCTATCGTTGTTGTCGCTATCGAAATTGTCATAATCTTCGCTTCCGACAACCCATTTTAATTTGATAATAAAAGGTTTTTTGTCATCACCAAGATTTTTCCAGCACTCTTGTTTTCGAGAAATTCCTCATTTGTCTACGTTGACCTCTACAAGCATAATTTATTAATCCCTTTAGTAGGTTATTCCTTCAAGGCCTTCTTCGGACATCCTTCCAGTATTTGACGAAGATATTTTGCACACATATTTCGATAAGTTATCAAATAGTAAAGGTCATTTAGCGTCAAAAGGGTTAAATGTCCAAAATTTGCAAGAATTTCACTTAATACAGGAAAGAAAAGTTAACCTGATCGTCTTATAAGTAGTTGTCAGTAATTATTGTAGAAAGTCGTATCTTATATGTATTGATAAATCAAAAAGCAAAAAAGTATGAAACAGGAAATTTTAAAACGTAGGAAGTGGAGCTTAACACTAAAAAGATAACCAAATTTTTACGTGAAAACTATCCCTTTAACATAAAGTTTATGGCTGGTAGAACAATATTTGCAATGAATATATAAAACATATCTATTTGCCAAAATTGTAAATAGAAGCTGAATACTTAAGAAAAAATACTTTGTGTCCTAATTTTAACTAATTTGCTCTACTATTAGGTCTGTTGACCCCTTCAAGAAATTTGATACTACGTTGTCATCAAGTATTTATTAAGAATTATGTGCCTCTGAAGAAATAAATTTTCCTTTTTACAGTCAGAAAGTAGGCATGTGAAAACCTAGATTCATTTCTACTGTTTTGATGTGTCAAAATTGAAGTATGCAATCTTTTAAAAGCAAACCTGGTGTTGATATTGTTGTTGTTGTTGATGCTGTTGTTGTTGTTGTTTTTATCGTTGATGGAGCCTTTGTTATGACATCTGCAAAGGATAAAAAATTTATTAATAAATATTCTTTTAAAATTACAAAGTTATAGCAAGTGCAACATGACCCCACAACAACAATACTACTACTACTACTACTATTAATAATAATAATAATAATAATAATAATAGTAATAATAACAATAATAATAATTTCCAGTCGAAAAGTACGCAGTTGAAAACTTAGATTCATTTCTACAGTTTTGGTGTCTCAAAATTGAGATATGCAATCTTTTAAAGCAAACCTGGTGTTGACGTTTTTGTTGTTGTTGTCGTTGTTATCGCTACCGTAATGAGTAATAGAATGATTTCTCTTGCAATTTGGTGTAAACAAGCGCTTGTAAGTTTTTCAAAGGCTACAAATTGCGTTCGCTCAACGGGCTCGTGCAATTTTGTTGTCTTTGAAAGAATTAACTCTACTCGTGCTTATTAACACCAGAGTGCACTCGAAATCATGTTATTACCTATACACACATTGATATTATAACGAATACTCACCAAACCCACAAATTTTTCCATGTGAAACATCACAATCTGAAAAAAAAAATGAAAAAAATGCCGAGGAAAAACAGGCTGCTTATCAGTTAATTGCAATCTAATTGCGAAATGAATAATCCAACCGAAAGTTGGCTCAGTGAAATAAGATGTGGAATAAGTTATTAGAAAATAAACGTTTTCTGGATTGTCTTAATGAGAGATTGGTTTTTCGCTAAAAAGGCTTGAATCAACACAGATTTAATCTCCTGCTGCTTATTTCGATGCTCGCAGAGGAAACAAATTATTTCGGTTCCGCGTACTGCTCCACGCAAGCAATTTTTGAAAGGCTAAGAGACTCCAGGTCTTTCAGAAATATTTTCCAAAGAAAAATCTTGGAAGTCCAGAAGATCTTGCAGATCCTTTGAGGAGAGTGCACTGTCTTAACTTGCGAAAATAAGGGCACGCCGACCGATTTCATTCATCGCCTTTGGCCTGACGACAATCGATGTTATTTGACGAAGCCGTAATTGGAATAAAGAATGATAGGCTTCGATTTCGAATCTCGCATTCTTAACCATGTTGGATCATGTGAGGGTTATTCTCAGCACAACATGGCGGGCTGTCAATATCTGGCAAGCTGGTAATATCTGTTCAGAATTTCTCTTTCTTGACACTTGATAACCCTAACCCTCTTGATAATAGTTGATACGTTTCATTAGCTTACAGGGGGTCGAAAGATGGTATCCAGTCGGGTATGGCAGAAGAGTAACCTAATGAAAAAGAAAGTGTCAATACAAATTGAATGTTAGTGACGAAAGAGGTATCTGCTTTACCTTTCAGCAGGCACGCCTAAAGCGCTAAGGCCTTCCAGCTAAGATATAAGATAACAAATAGCCTAGTTCAATTCCTCTTTCCACACTTCTTGTGACGCCATCACGCGATGAAAATTTCGATCTCATAATTCAACTATTAATTGATATGCGCAAAACAAATTACTTACAAGCGCAGTCATTGTCCATCCACTTTGCAGCAATGGTATTTTATAGCTCGTAAAATTCTGAAACAGACACAGTAAAATTATGCTAACTGGGCATGTATGTCAGTTTTAGTGCGCTAAACTAAAATCTATATCCGCCAGGTACGCTTTCAGAAATCGTTTAGCAATAGCCTAAAGCCACATGAAGCGTAACCCATTGAAGTGCAGCGGTGTGCCATCATCTTAGTACTAAGGTGTACTGCAATGGGTGTTGTGCTAGGTGTGGCGATCATTGTATGGATGATAAACGTCAGTGACCGCTACAAAACGAAAGAGCAATGAAAGGTACGATCGTCCAGCAAAGGATAACACTGCTCACAGGATCCGACCTTACGAGAACCTCAGCTCATCAGAGTACGGTTTGTAGAAGCTGGCTGGTCAGATCTGCGGTAAAGTAAATGGCCCTGCAGTAAGCGATAATTCGTCAAATAGTCTGTCACAGATATGCGTGACGGTTCTGTATATTGTTGTTCGTACCGCGCGCATTTCTTTAGGGGCATTACTAGGCATTTTCGGAAAGGGATTTTACATTTTTCTTTGTATCCTCTGACAAACGGTGCCTCGATTGCGTTTTTTTTCCGCCTATGCTTAAGGCGGGAATTCTTTGTTCACTAAATAACAGACATTTTCATCAGATCTCAAGCCTCAATAAGCCAAGACATGTTTAATTGGAGAAAATAGAATTTTAAATAGTAAAATGTGATTCTGCAATTCCAGGAACTTTAGTTTTAGTAAGTCTATGTCATCTGTGTTGAAAATAAAGCATATGAAAGTTGTGGGAGGCAGTCTCAGCGCAATTAAGTGGTAGACTTCTTGTGAACAAACACACCACGAAGCAGAAATGAGTAAACTCGTCAACTAATGAAAAACATGCTCCGAAGGGGAAATTTTCCTCACCTTGCCAAAGTTCTCACATTTTACGTCAGTTCGGTTTATGATATAGATTACTCTATATCCAGTCCAGTTTAACGCGTCATCTGGTAAAAAGTCAAAGAACCTCAATTCAGCTGGTTGTGATAATTCTACATTGCAGCCTAGAAAGTGTCCTGGGCCTTGAAAAAGTTTGCTCCTTAGTCCTACATTAGAGGAGGAAATTGTAAAATTAAGACCTCGTGAGACATTCGAATTTTCATGTTCTCGAAGCCTAAAATTAGAGAAAATTTAGCATTTCTTGTGGTTACTTGCCTACTTGTAACAGGTTCATTTTTTCTTTTTATTTACTATCACCTCTTCGTCCTGGTGGGATTAACTGACATGCTCTCAACCGGTGGGAGTGCCAAAAATACAGAAAAAAATACGGAAAATACAGTCAAACTTGTATTAAAAGCGTTTATCCATGGGGAATGGCGTGCCGACCGCTTAATACAGGCTGACCGCAGTGGTGATTAAAACTGGTGTGATCACCTAGCTTACCTTTGAAAGGTTCCCATGACACCTTCCCTTCATATCCTCCAGAGCTTTTCAATTTTTTAAAAGTCAAGCTGATAGACTCGGGAGAATAAATGGTATCATTTTTTCCCTTCTCAATAAAGCAGTTAACCGCATCTGAAAAAAATGAAAGGACACAATACTGCCACGATGTAATAGAATGTCAGTTACGGTTTACCATTCTTACGCCCGATACAAACTCTCAAACCTGTTTACTGCTCTTTAACAGGCTGTTGTCACGCGAGCAGGCACCTCATTTTGAAATTTGGGTGCAGAATTACGTTTCCTACGCTACATCTAATATGATCACATTGTGAACGGTCCGTGACCTGAGATAGAATGGAACCTGCAATCCCTATTGCCGTGAGAGGAAAGCGAGTCTCAAATGTGAATCTAGAAAATGTGTGTTTGCCTCTTCCTTTAACCCTTTACACCCTAAAATCAGTATACATATTCTCCATACTGTTCTTTATACATTTCTTAAGGTGCTGACAAGGAGAATTTGTTTACCGATCAAAAGCTTCTTTCGTTGGTGATCATTTTCTTTATTCTCATAACCTTAATATGTGATTCAGGGGTAATATTGTAAGGAGAAATTGCATGCTAATCACTACTACTTGAGTGAAACGGAATATTAAACATTTTTATGAAACTGGCCTCCCGTACTATCAGGCCATTTTGCATCAATACCTGTTCAATTTGAACATGGTCGTAGTGAGAAATAAGCAAAATAATACAAAGACTGAGCACTCTCAAAGAGAAAACCAAGCACAAAGCTCCATACGGTACCAGATTAAGCGAAAACTGAGACCATCATGTGAAGAGTCCTTGTGATTGACTATTATTCGGCTAGAAAACCTTAATAGGCAGCTTATATTATGCTTTGAAGATTGAAATGATTATTTCATCTTACCGCT